GGGGTGGGGGAGGTGGGCTGCTGGGGGGGAAACGGAATTGATTTGGTCTTTCCCCCCTCCCCCACCCCTTGCTCCCTGCCAGTGCCTGAAGATCTGCACAACTCTCTCTCCTATGGCAGTGGTGATGCCTGCCAGTATCAGAGCAAACTACAGTCTAGGGGCTCCTTTCTTCTTCACGTGCCCCACTCTGTAGTCCTCGGCACCTTCTGTCCCTCACAGGAACTGCTGGCCCTTTGTCATGAAAACATTCTTTCCTGTCTGCATGCCAGAGTCAGCAACAATCAAGGCACATTCGGACAGTTTGTTTCAACCCTATTTCTACCATTCAGCCTGTAAACATTAACTCCTGTTCAGTAAAAGCTAGGAACACTTATCCTCCCCCCATCTTTAATCTATCTAGAGTGACAGCATTGACTACCAGACTGATTCCAGGGAATCGAATATTCCCAAACCTGGCCCGATGGTTCACCTTCCAGAAAAGTGTGTCTCTGTCAGCATTCCAATCCTTGCTGCTGAAACAATCAGGTCTGAGGTTTGATTTTACCCAGTAAATTAGCCTGTCAGTTTTGTGGATGCTGACAGAAGACACAGGATCCTTGATCACAGGCAAAGGCCTCTATCACTCAGGGTGTGCAGCACGCAGAGGGAGTGTCAGCATATTTATGTCAGTTCCCACAGGCAACACCGCAGGCCTGGATGAATGTCAAGCATGCAGCGGTCTGTGTCACAGCTGACCAAAAGAGTGCAAGGAATCCAACACTTTTACAGCAAACCTGCTTCTCATCCCCAAGCTTACTAGTGATATAAATGCTGAGAAGTGGCTCAGGCAAAGCCTTAATTAGGCCTTGCAGTCTTGGCACACTCAGCAAGATGTGTAGGCACTTCAGAGGCCCAGGAGAGCTGGACTGTCTCATCCCATAACTACCATTTTCTGTACAGTATTCTGTTTATTCCTCATGAATCTTTCTCCCAGCTTGTCTGTAAACTGATGCTTTGTGAAGGCTAGGCTGGCTAAGAGATGATATCTATATCCTGATCAGGAATATTTCCATGTTATGGTTTTAAAGACTGAATAATTTCTTCAAAAGTTTGGCCACCACTCAGCTGGTCAAGAGAAGGAAATGGCAACCCACTCCAGTATTCTTGCCTAGAGAATCCTGTGGACAGAGAAGCCTGGTGGGCTGCTGTCCATGGGGTCGCACAGAGTCAGACACGACTGAAGCGACTTAGCAGCAGCAGCAGTTTGTCAGCGACTTGTCAGTCCTAAGTGCAACAGAGAGCTAAATTTAGGAAACTATTCCGGTCCATCTTTCTTTAAGCATGACTAGTCTCAGTTCCTAGAAGAAAGATCACATACGTCTTTCCAGAAAGAAATCTACTGGAGAAAAGGGGATAATGACTGACAAGGCAGTAACATACTGTTGCTAGGTGACAACCTTGTAACTACAACCACAGCCCAGGGCTGAGATACAACTACAACTCAGCCCCAGAGCCAAGCACATCAACACTTTTCTCCTATGGAGTTTGATTTCAGCCTTAAAAAGGAAAAAACCCAAATTTGTATTATCATGTAATATTTAGATTCTAAAATTTTACTCTTCAGTGATTTACTAACTGTAACTTTTAAAATTATGACCAAATTTCAGTAAGTCTGAGGCTGTAATTTCATAACAGGTAAGCCACAGTGCGTGCTATGTCACTTCAGTTGAGTCCAACTCTTTGTGACTCTGTACTGTAGCCCACCAGTCTCCTCTGTCCACGGGATTCTCCAGGCAAGAATACTGGAGTGGGTTGCCATGTCCTCCTCCAGAGGATCTTCCCAACCCAGGGATCGAACCCATTAATTGAACCCAAGAAATTACTCCTGCACTGGCATGGGGATTCTTTACCACCGAGCCACCAGATTTTAATGTCATTAACGGTTAAGCAACATGATCCAAGGACTAAAAAGGGAACAGAAATGAGATCAGTGGCTGTAATAAACAACATTTAAAGAATAATTCAGCATACGGACACTAGAGTTAAGCTTCGGATCCACAAACTCATAGGCACAAGTAAAACGACTCTCACATGTTACCACGGGCACATCTTATGCCGCGTCAGCTGGGGGTCTGGGACTTGTGCCTGAGCACTGAAGATCAGATGTCGGGGGCTGCTGTAATTACTTAGATGGGAAAGAATAATAAAATGATTGAGAAGCAGGCATTTCTATTCATATGGCATAAAAAAATTTTCCTATCCTAGGCAATTTCACAAACTACCTTAAAATTCTTTTTCCATGTTTCTATTAGAGACTTCAAGGAAAAACCGTAAGTTTTCTTCTGAAAGTTACAGTGATTAAAAATAATGAGTGCTGAAGTCACAATGTTTTAACACATTATCATGCAAAGTTTTAGGCTTATCTCTGGGGTATAAAATGCTCAGTAAGTGGGCTAGTATAAAAAATATTAGGAATTAATCTATTACATGTAAGAACCAAATTAACCCCATCAATTAGAGGGAATTTAATGTGAAGAAGATTAGCTTCCTGACTGGGTTAAACAAAGTCTATAATGAGACAAAAGGGAAGTAGTTTAAGTAATAAATGTTTAATCAAAGAATTTTACATATTATTAACAGCATTCATTTGGCCAAACATCTACACGTTTGTAGAATCCTATTGTATATAAAGTGGGAATGTATCAAGTATAGACTATGAAAGTGCAAATAACAAGTCAAGGTTAGAGTAATTTTTTCTTACATTATAAAATTAACTTGTTTACAAAATAGGCTTTGCCAAACTTTATTTCTGAATCGTAAAGTCAGTGACTGTGTTTTTAAAATATGTACCAAGGAAATACAAATTGGATACTGATGGTTTTCATGCTCAGGAGAGACCACAGAAACACAGGGAACTGCACAAGAGCGTGGACCCAGAAGCCCTGACTACACTGTGGCACACGGCGCTCTTCCTCACTGCACCGCGGCTCTCAAGCCGCCTCAATGCGACACAGACTCCTCCTACTGAAAAACTACAGCTTGATCTAAAAACCGACTGGTGTTGATATTTCAATCTAAAATAAATTTGTAAAAAAAATCCTTTAATGGACTATTTCAGTTTCATATACAGTAATACACTGTAGATAAAGGTAGTATTTTCCCCAACTAATTTTAACAGGGATTGCTATCAATCAATGTTTCTGATAGCTGGGGAAATAAAAACCAATGTGGACTTCCGATATCCATGGCACAGTTTATCCTAAGGGAACAGGGGAATATTAAGGGAACAGGGGAATATTAAATACTCTAATATAATGTCTGAGCCATACGATTTGAAGTACAAGGAAATTTCAAAAGCAGGGTTTGGGAACAAAAAGTAATCAAAAATCGTTAATTACAGCTCATGTGGATATTAATACTAACATAAACCTTTCACCCAGCCCAGGACTTGCCTGTACAAACTTGGTACTAGAATTTTGGTAACTGTAGATTTCTGATAAGAATCTGGCAAAACATTAAATAGAGTGTTGCATATCTATTTTGCTTATGTTATGCTAGTTTTCATAATATGTAAGTAAAACAGCCATTCCAACAGTTTATTCTAGTTTTAATTACACACTGTACCATTGTATCTTAATTACAACTAAGACCAGCATTTTCTTCACAGTAAGACACTGATAACTAGGAAGTTGATTTTTTCAACACTAAACAGTAATCACGCAGCAAATGAGTATTGTGCAATAGAACGAACACGTCAGCATTTGCGATTTAGTCAAACAAACCGATTGAACATTTAGTTGTTATATTTACTGTAAAGGCAAGGCCATGGGTGGTTTTATGGAGGTCTTTGCAATTCATACAGCATAGTTACTTCAGAAGAGACATTGAAGTTGGAATTACTTACTTGACTGGCAACTACCCATTGAGGTGAGGCAAAGGCACGGTAACATGTTGCGCAGGATGCTTTACTGAGTTTTTTTTTTTTTAAATAATTGTGGGATTTACTATAACTCATGAAAACTCCACTTTTTTTTTCTATTTTATAAAACACTTACCATTAAAAGTAATTGCACCCATTAGTAATTAGAATGCACTGTAAAATTGTGAAAACAAAGAACTATGATTGCACTTCCAATAAAGTGTCTCTTAAAATACAGCACCGCTGTTGCTAATCAACTGTATTTTAATATTAAAATAAACTGTTTTGAACAGCAGCATTAGATTTAGTTAACTTAAGCTACAGGCTACATTTATTTAAATGCAGTCTCCATGGCAACAAAAGCCCATTAAATTCTGGAACATCACTGCTACCAAGTGGCACCTTTTACTTCCAGGAAGGCTGAGACTGCTTGGAAACCCTCCGGGACACCGCACACCTGAACGCCTTGTTAGCGCACGAGTCAGTTTGGCACAAGTGGACTGTAAATAGACATGAAAAGAGATCTCTGATTCATGTGAAATTAAAATTAACTACACCGTGGTAGATGCAGCGTTAAAGAGAAGCCCTGGCGACCTCAATTCACACCGCTCAGACAAGAAGGCAGAAGGAAAATTACGGAAGAGCACAAAGAGACGGAGGAATGAAATGTTATTAGATCTGTCCAAAATAACTTCTGAAATGAAGAAAACTTTCAGTTTTTTCTTTTTTAAAGGAAAAACCACCCAAGGATTAGAGAGTAAGCCTTTCATTTAATGTTCAATTTAAGTATTGCTGACCTAAACAGAGGACTGCACTTTCTTCAAATGTGGAATCTAAGCTATTTATTCCATTTGTGCTGCTCTCTCCTGCTCTTCTGCTTGTCAGCATAAAGGGGAAAACTATCCAATTAAATACAGAAGAAATTCCCTGTCAGGTTAAAATCAGAAATGAAGCTATACCATTCAAGGGAACTCCTTCATATTTAATCCTAATGTCAGTGGTTTATAATTAGTTGAAATTAAGTGGATCAAGTCTCTATAAAGCATACTCCTCTAGCATACCATCTGTACCTGCAATTCACTAGAGCCCCGAGATGTGCAGTTCATACTAAGTGTACTTGTTCAGGCCAGTCACTTGAGGTCTGAGGTGTCTGACTTGAAACATCGGAACCATCCCCCTTGCTGGCAGCCTCATTACCACTGTCGCTAGCTCGAGATGCTGCTTCCCCAGCCAGAATATTTCCCTCCAAAGGATTTTCTTCTCTTTGGATTCCTCTCCCTTCACTGATCGCAGCATCTTCAAACACTGAATCTTCTGGAGGTATCAGTTCCACATCCCTCACACATTCTGACTCATCTTTGACACAGGGGAGCTGAGAATCTGCACTGATTTCTGTAGCTGCTGGAGGAATCAGAGCAATACTTTGAGGGTTCATGTCATGAAACCAAGCCATGATATTGCCAAGAAGATTGTCATTGATGTTGGCGTCCTGGCTGGCTGAGTCAGGGTCACTGGATGAGGGGAAGAATTCACTTCTCGCCTCACTGGGAGGGTGGGAACTCAGGGTGTCAGTTGAAAATGGGTCTCTTTCTGCTCCTAGTCTCATGAGGCTGTCACCAAGTTCCAACAGCTCAGAGCTGCTCAACGCGGCTCGAGGGCTATCTGTGTTCCTGGGGACGGAGTCCAGTCTGGAAGGTAAAGAGGTACCTATTGCTCCTAAGGACGCTTCGTTACTGAGAAAGTCTGTACTTTCTTCATCGATGGCCAGCCCAGATTCTTGCAGAGATAACTGTATTGCAAGAAGTATATTGGGATCGTCTTCATCCAAGGAACTCAGAGCCTGAGGCAACAGAAAGTAAAACTACTTCAAAATTTAAAAGGAAAAATGATTGAACCCAGTGAGGTCTGCCAGTGTTCTTTTACCAAACAGATAATTAACAGTACCTCTATTTATACAGAAGAACTTTTTGACCTACTAGAACCTTAATTTTCTCCTTGCCCATGATAATGGGAAAATAAATTACTTAAGAGTAAATCTGAAATAGAAAAATCCTTCCCTGTAGTACAGCTCTGAAGCAAAGATTGTGGAAGGGAAGGGAGAAAAAGGAGAGCAACAGAAGTAAAAATAGGAAGCCAGGCTCAAGGGAGAAACAGCAGAAGGCAGGGGCAATGAAGCCGCCCAGAAAGGCTACCTGAAGGGAGTCCTGGTTCTCAGAGCGGCTGGCAGGCGTGTAGTCCCGCAAGGAGGAGGTGTGCAGCGCGCTCACAGACGCAGAGCTTACCACGGAGGAGCCCGGCCTGCGGCCACCGCCACCGTCTGGGAGATCTGTTTCAAAGCAAGCGGTACCAGACAGTTTGGTCACATCAGGTCTCATGCATCTTTTCAACTAAATCAACAACTTCTCTGAGTGCTGGTGAAAACCTGGGGTCACAAGTTCACGTCATCTTTCAGAGATTTTTCATCCATATTGTCTCACTACAGGCAACAATATATATCTAACACAATTATTTCAAATCCATGATCAGTCTTTACAACTTTATTTAGATTATACATAGTTCTATTCACAAAGGCGAGTGCTACCAAGTGTTTGTTTTTTTCCCCTTAGGTAACAAGAAAGGTGTTTTAGTTTTCAGAGTTCTTAAAACTAAAGAATTTGCAAGTTACAATAGCCCCCAAAACTAATCTTTAGGCCTGTCGATCCTGATACATTAAAGATGAGCTGCTGACACTGCTGTGGTTTGAAGATTTTGAATTAACAATTTAATATTTAAAGGATGATAATTTATCTTCACTACTAGAAATTTAAAAATGTTGACAGGAGAACTGAGGTTAGGAGAAAAATATTTCATGAACACACTGAGAGTAACCAACAGCTACAATTTATCAAGTGTTCGCTAGGTGCTATTAGTGTTTAAGGGTTTTACACGCACTATCTCATTTAATGCTCACAATAAGCCCACAGAGTGACACTACTGTTACTGCTTCTTTAGAATGAGGAGACCAAAGCTTGGAGAGGCTAAGTGACTCAAGTTTCACACCGACATGCGGCAGAGCTGGAGTCATGAGCTCAGGCCTGTCTGACTCCATATTCTTAATCGACCTGGTTTTCTGCATCCTGTAACATTAGAAGCACCTGCATGCTGACTGTATATCTAAATTACAAACTCTCTCACAATATTTAGATTAGCCACTTTTACGAAGACATGCAAGAGAACTAAGAGATTACAACAAACCCAATGCAAGGACTCACCTAAAGTGCTTTCACTTGGCTCGTCAGGGTCTGGAGGGTTACTCAGCAGACTGTGCACGTCTCCTCGACGGCGCTGTTGTCTGTGCCTCCTCCGATACTGAAATTCAGCATATTCCTGCATAAACCACAGGTTATAAAATACGGGAGAGCATGCACACTTTAAAGTGCAAATAAAACCAAACATACACTTTTTTTCCAGGAAAAAAAATGTGTGATTTTATACACATATTATAAAATCACTTGGCTTTAGAAAAGGAAACTTCAGGCTTTGCCATGCCAAGGAAAACAGAAAAGGCTGCCAATGGAAAAGAAAATGGAAACGAAAAACTTTACATAGCCATTATAACTGTCTGAATAAATTGGGAATACTTGCAAGCTCCAATGCTAGATCATAACTGAGCCTCATTTCATGTGCCTGGATCTTGTTATCTAAAGTTATAACTAATACCAGAATAATTTTACTGATGTGAGTCAGGCCCTCTCTGAAGGTCTGGTTTTTAAAAAAGGACTGTGATATATGCAACAGGAAAAAAAAAAAAGGAAAAATAAAAGCACACACAGTTAGGTACTTGTTAGACTGATTGATTTGGTTATCATTGGGACTACTACAAACCATATTCACTGCAAAAAAGAATATGAGGTTATCTTTAAAATAAGGTACTACTTGGCTTCCTTCCTGTGTTAGTGCATATGTAGGGTGATCTACAACCCAGGCAAGGCAAAGTGTTTTCAATTTAGCATATGGGAAGAACACAGATGTGGGCAAATGTCCCCAAGTCTATTTCACATTTGTGATACTAGTTTTAAGTGGGTCTGCTATCACCAGAGGCAGAACCTGGGACTATGTGCTATCATCTGGGTACACATGTCCTTTTCCAGATTTTAGTGACAGACAGACCAGTGTACATGATACCAGCATTTGTGTGTTAGTCGCTCAGTTGTGCCCAACCCTCTGTGATCCCATGGACTGCAGTCCACCAGGCTCCTCTATCCATGGGATTTTCTAGGCAAGAACATTGGAATGGTTTGCCATTTTCTTCTCCAGGGGATCTTCCTGACCCAAGGATCGAACCCGGGTCTCCTGCACTGCAGGCAGACTCTTTACTGACTGAGTTACCAGAAAAGCCCTGATACCAGCATAAAAAGGCTAGTTTTGAGAATCATTGTAGAATTTTTGAGTGATACACACTAAAATATGATTTTAGTTTATGATTCGTGATTATCTAGTTACTATGATTTTATGATTATCTAGTTACTCTAGAATATTCAATATGCTTATATTGTGAAAGTAACAGAAATAAATGAGAATAAGTTTTATAATCCCAGTAAAACTTTCACATCGTATGACTCAGGTGAAATTCTTCTTTATCTATGTAAGTAGCTGGACTCTAATTAAAGAATGGAAGGCATCCTATCAGGCTAGAAATAAATGAACATAATACTACAAGTGTCCAGAGAGATTAACCAGGTTCTTTAAATTTACTGCTGAGCCGAGGCATTGCTTCCTCTTTTCCTGGAGGCTGATGATCTAAAACTGGATGACTGCGGCATCATGGTTCACAGCACCACCAAGTACTACCACATTTCTCAGACAAAGACGGCAACGAAATATTATGCCACTTTGAGATTTATCTTTGTGATCCACATAGTCAAAGGCTTTGGCATAGTCAACAAAGCAGAAATAGATGTTTTTCTGGAAGTCTCTTGCTTTTTCGATGATCCAGCAGATATTGGCAATTTGATCTCTGGTTCCTCTGCCTTTGACTATCCCAAAGCCTTTCACTGTGTGAATCATAATAAACTGTGGAAAATTCTTCAAGAGATGGGAATACCAGACCACCCGACATGCCTTCTTGAGAAACCTGTACGCAGGTCAGGAAGGAACAGTTAGAACTGGACATGGAACAACAGACTGCTTCCAAATAGGAAAAGGAGTACATCAAGGCTGTATATTTCCACCCTGCTTATTTAACTTATATGCAGAGTACATCATGAGAAATGTTGGGCTTGAAGAAGCACAAGCTGGAATCAAGATTGCCGGGAGAAATATCAGTAACTTCAGATATGCAGATGACACCACTCTTATGGCAGAAAGTGAAGAAGAACTAAAGAGCCTCTTGATGAAAGTGAAAGAGAGTGAAAAAGCTGGCTTAAAGCTCAACATTCAGAAAACTAAGATCATGGCATCCAGTCCCACCACTTCATGGGAAATAGATGGGGAAACAGTGGAAACAGTGGCTGACTTTATTTTTTGGGGCTCCAAAATCACTGGAGATGGTGATTGTAGCCATGAAATTAAAAGACGCTTACTCCTTGGAAGGAAAGTTATGACCAATGTAGACAGCATATTTAAAAGCAGAGAGATTACTTTGCCAACAAAGGTCCATCTAGTCAAGGCTATGGTTTTTCCAGTGGTCATGTATGGATGTGAAAGTTTGACGGTAAAGAAAGCTGAGTGCAGAAGAATTGATGTTTTTGAACTGTGGTGTTGAAGAAGACTCTTGAGAGTCCCTTGGATTGCAAGGAGATCCAACCAGTCCATCCTAAAGGAGATCAGACCTGGGTGTTCATTGGAAGGACTGATACTGAAGCTGAAACTCCAACACTTCGGCCACCTGATGCGAAGAACTGACTCATCTGAAAAGACTCTGATCCTGGGAAAGATTGAGGGCAGGAGAAGGGGACGACAGAGGATGAAATTGTTGGATGGCATCACCAACTCAATGGACATGAGTCTGGGTAAACTCTGGGAGTTGGTGATGGACAGGGAGGCCTGGTGTGCTGTGGTTCATGGGGTTGCAAAGAGTCAGACACGACTGAGCAACTGGACAGAACTTGAGATTTATCTTTAGGAAGAATTTGTTTACTTTGTACATTTGGTGATGGTACAAAGTTATTTAGAATTAAACTACTTCATAGAATATACATATTTTCATTGAAGAAAACTAAATAGTTGAAAAACAACTGTGAAAGAAACTTGTTACAATTATTCTGATAAAAATCAAACAGCATTCTCTCACCATGCAGTAGACTTTTAAAAAATTGTTTTCATAAAAGTAAACTTATCTGAAAAATTCCATGGATTCCTAAGATCTCCAGGTAAGCATATGAAAGGCTTTAGTCAAAATACTCCAAATGGTTTGAGAGTGTTATGGCTATTTGAGAGTGTTACGGCTACAGGGAAGAGTGAGAAGTTCTAGGATTTATAGGGGAAAAAGCTGCCAGGAGTTTTTTATTATTGTAAATAATAACAGCCACCATTTACTGAACACCAGTTCTGTCAGTGACTTAAACAGATGCTTTAATCCTTCCAGAACTTCCATGGGGTAAATATCATGATCCACATTTGAAGGATGAGAAATGAAGGAAGGCACATCCTAAGTCGCCCTTAAGTTACAGGGTTAGACCTTGAGTTCTGGTGTCCCTGAGACATCTCGATCACGCTCTCTCCTCTGGGCTCCACTGCCTTTGTTGCTGTTTCAGTTGCTCATTCGTGTCCGACTTTGCGATCCTATGGACTGTTGCCCGCCAGGCTGCTCTGTCCATGGGATTTTCTGGGCAAGAATACTGGAGTGAGTTGCCATTTCCTTCTCCAGGGGCTCTTCCCAATCCAGGGATGGAACCCGTGCCTCAGGGAGCACCTGCGCTGGCAGGCAGATTTTTAACCCTGAGCCACCAGGGAAGCCACAGTCCTCAAAGTGGCACAGACAGACACTGCTGCTGGCCAGTGGCTCTCCCACTTCAGTTCAGGAAGGATACGATGTAATCAACTTTAATAAAAACACAAATTCAACCTCAAAGTCTTCTCCAGGTTGGCAACAGAGCTAATTTTCCAAGATATAATTTTGGCAGATGCTTGATAATCACACACATGAAGAATGTTAAAATTTCATACTGCATGGTAATTCTTTAGAATTGCAATGTTTTAGAATTTGCAATGTTTACACAAAACCTTGGTGCTCAATGTCCCGAAGGCCTTAAAGAATAAAAAAAGTTAAATTATTCTTAAGAATAAAATATTATTTACAATTTCACATTTTTTCAATCCCTGGAGAACAAGAGCTCAATAATTTTATTTAGAAATATTCACACGTGAGATAAAAAGCTCCTCTATTTTTATTAAAATGAAATTGTGTCAGTCATATTAGTAGGCTCTCAATATTCAAAGACAGATATTTTGAAATTCTTTAAGTTACTGCCATTAGTCAGAAGTCTCAAGATGATGCATACCTGATTGTGAATATATTTTTGCTCTACTATGTTTCTACCTTGATACTGAAATCTTTGTACTCTGTTTTTGATAACTGAAGGTTATTTATTCCTCCTTTTAGGTGGAAATTTTCCAAACTATCCCCAAAGCTGAAATTATATTATAACACAGAAATATTAAAGTATAGGTTCAAGTAAAGAAAAGGTTCATAATTTGTTCTACAATAGAAATTTCATTAATATATCAAAAATGTTTTAAAATTTTAAGTGACTTTAAAATTTTCATATCAGAGCTCTAACCACTAATTTTTCCTCAAGTCAATGCTGTTTGGATATATCTACCAATATCAAAAGGCCACAGGTGATTGCAAGTATTCTCAGCAGCTGAAAAGAGAAAATATCTGATTTAAATAAACCACAGTCATTTACGAATAATAATCAATTCCACTGTCTTTCAGTTGCAGTTATTATACGGGCTATAAATGATAAAGGTTTCATAGTTTGTCCTGCCACCTTACAAGAATTAAATTAAAAGGTAAAGTGTCAAATGTTATACTGTTGTATGAAGAACAAAGTAGAGAGAACTGCTAAAACCATTTAAAATCAGACTCAACAGTGACAGTGGCAATTTAAACCTCAAAAAATAGCAATGTGATTAAGATTTTCACTTTATCGTGTTTTTATTGCTATTTGCAGTATTAAGGACCTTCCTATTTTAAAATGGGATATAAAAAACAACAATGAAAACAAGAAGATTATGAAAATCTTAAAGACAAGCAAAGAGCAAATGATCAAAGCATTCTTTCTGCATAAAACATTAATGTTAAGCTTTCACCTAACTGATTATAAGTCAATTCTAACAGGTTGTTTCAATAACTTAAAATAATAGATTTTGTATTTATGTTTTTTATAAATTCAGACTGAAACAAGTAATATTATAATTAGAAGTGCATTTCTAATAAATAAAATTCCTATTTCTGTTGAAGATATTTTCCAAAAATGTACCCTGTAAGTTGGCCTTCCATCATTAAAATTTGGTAATTAAAAACTTTGAGAGGGAGTATGCGTTTACTAATGTGATGATAACTCAATACCTAAGAAGGTAAATGCAGGCGTGGCTGAGGCACTGTTACTGTAAAGGACAGGAAAAAAACACTGTTTACAGCCTCAAAGGCATATTTAGAAAACAGAAAAATTGAAAGGGAAAGTGAGGTCGCTCAGTTGTGTCTGACTCTTTGCGACCCCATGGACTGTAGCCTACCAGGTTCCTCTGTCCTGGGATTTTCCAGGCAGGAATAAACAGATGAGGGTGCAAATATAAGCAGGACTGCACTAGGAAAATTATAACTGACTCAACCCAATCCAACCCCCCATAAAACAATTACCTCAGGTGATGCAAATCCTAGATATTCCCAATCCCATGTTCCACCAGCAAAGCTACAAGGAAATTAAACACACCATTTGATTTATTATCAGTACAACAAAGTACAAATAATCAGACCCTTGTCCTTTGAACATTACTTCTAACTCCTTTGCTTGGAACTTGCTTAACCAAAGACCAACTACTGAATATAATTAAAGTAATTCTTTCATTATTTTTTTCAAATTCTATGTTGTTTTATGTTTATGTAAAATGGTGGAAAATTAAAAATCACCATGCTATACAAGAGTATTTTTTATGATTGCTTCTATTTTTTTTTTGATTACTTCTATTTTTGAGTGGTTATATAAAAATAAGGGTCCAAGGAAAATTTCTAATCCTTAAAATTAGTATAAACAAGAAAATATGCTTCAATTTATAATGGCAGTGTTAAGTGTCTGAAATAAAACAACCAAACTCAACTTTTCTTTAATGGATGAGTATGTGGATCACTTACAAAACTTTACTAACATCAGATTTCTAATTTCCTCACAACTTTTTACCAGAAAATATAAGTATGACAATAACAATTTGGCAAGTCTTCCAAATTCTACATCATAAGATGTCTATGACTACCAAAATGACATATTAGAATACTTGTTGAATTATGAGTTCATTGAAGTGTGAAATTTACCTAGCTTAATTAGTCTGAGAAACTATAGAATGACCAACAAAAAATAACAAGAAAAACAGAAATAGTACTGGAAAAAAAAAATCACCAAAAAGAAGTTAATATACTTTTATCAGCTATCCATATTTCAGGTATAAATAACTTTCAGGAATATGAATCCCAGTTGGAAAAAAAATACACTTGCTGCCTCTGTGGCTGGTGCTAGGGTGAGGGTCACGGTGTGTATCCTTCTTACCTGCGGCGTGGAGCTTCTGGTGAGTCTGCAGGAGCAACTCCCCGAGCCACAGATGCCAGGAACTCTTGCCTTTTCTGCTGTACAAGGCATGCTGCCTTGATGATCTTGTGGCGGGGTGTGCGAAGGTAAGGCCTATTGACTTTTTGGGCAAGGTCTTCAGTGACCATTTCTAGGTCTGTCTATGTTAAGAAAAAACACACAAACAAAAAGATTATAGGATAAATGGGTAAGTCAATAGCAAATTCAGTGTCTATCTGGTTAAATCTCTCTCTTGAAATCAGAAAGTAATCCAACTTTCGTAGTAACTTCCAATTTAACATGTAAGTTTTAGGAAAACAGCATTCATTCAACAGGCATTTATAGCAATGTAGTTGGTACGGATTACAAAGTAGTAGTGAGTACAGCAGCTGTATAAAAAAAATTTATAACTTGTCTGTGTGAAAAAGAACTAATAAAATTCAAAGCATTGTACATGCAAGTGCAAGGCCACATGGCACAGACTTTATGTAAATGCTGAAGGAAGGTGAGGCAAGGCAAAACCTTTGGGATCTGGGGCTAGGTCTGGAAGACCTCATGGAGAATACGAATATCAAGCACTGAAAGAAATATAAGACATAAATTAGTAGAGGGGAGTTTAAACGGATGAAAAAAACATCCATATCAAGAGGAGAAAGTTTAGTTACTTCAAAAAAAGAGGAATGTATAATGTACTTGGTTGGCTACACTCATGTCAGTTGGCTTAAATGTTTTACTTATTTTTAAAAGTGCTCTAAGTTTTTCTTTCAGTTGCACTGTTAAAACAAACTGGCAAACACCAATTTTCTCATCTAGTAAGTGATGCTGTTAGTTTCATTTTGAAGATGAAATTCTATCAGACCAGATTTCAACCTCAACCAGTTTAAAATAAATAAGTGTAGTAGGAAATGCTCGAATCTGCATAGTGACAAATTCAAACATAAAGAAAATTTCAGTTTATTACCGTAACTTTTGGTTTATTTAAAAACAATTTTAAAAATGGAAACAAAACTGTTAATTACACTTTAGTAAGATAAAACTTAGCTATAAAGTGGTTGAGAAAGGCGAAAACCTGTTTTTCATCATAACTGCATTTAAGTTTAATAAAAAAGATATCTTACTTGCATGAGTTCAAAAATTTCTTTCTTTGTGCTTTTAAGTTCTAAGAAAAATCCATATGGATAAGAACACTTAAGAATGCGTCGAGTTTTTAAGAGCACATGAACTGCATCTTCAATGAAAGTGGTATCTGGACAGGCTCCTTCAGCTATAAAGTAAACCAGGCACCGTAAAAAAATTTTTTTGCAAATATGCTGTTATAAAATTAATTAAATGACTAAGTTTTCTTAAAAGAAAGGGGAAAAAAAAGGGACAAATCTCTAAGAAGAACCTGAAGAAGCTATATCATAATATTGACTTGAGTCAGACTAAGAACCTATGTAAAACTCATACATTTTGCATTTGTGTGAGCTGTATACATTTATAAACGGAACACACCCCTGCAGTAGCCCAGGAATGCAGTCCTAAAGGAATGCATGCAATGATCCTGGATTCTGTTCTCGCCCTGCCTGTAAACAAATCTAGCTTCAGGTCGCCTCAAAGGTTCCAGGCTTTACTAGTTTCTTAGGTTGTCCATAGAAGAATTTCGCTGATCATGATTTAGAACAAATGCCTTGCTGGGTCCTCAAAAAAAAAAAAAAGAGTCTAATTATAAATTACGCTTCTGCAAAAACGATACTGTAAGGTAAAAGATCCATCGTGGGAAACTACTGCGTAGCGAATGCTATTAGCAGTAAATGAATCCTTCAGGGAGAGAAAGAGCAGAAGTGGGAAGAGCAGCTTTATTTCTTCTTTCTTAATCTTCTTTTGATTCTTTCTTATATCTTACTATGCTGTCTAGAACCTCCAAAAGGTTGAACAGAAGCAGCAATTCAAATCTACAAATATTTATTTTATATTTACATGTTTTGGGCACTGTTCTAAGTATTAGGGACACATCGGTGACAGAACATACTGTACAACCTCTGAGCATTTTTTCTTTCAATTTTTACTGTGGACAATTAACACTTTAAGAGTTTGCTATTGGCTTGATACAGTCATGTCATTACTATGGTCTAAGAACTAGTAATTAACAAGGAGATTAAGCTGCTATTGATGCTTTTTGTCCCATTCTAAGCTATTTAGCTTACGGTTATTGTTTTAATAAGGAAATACTCTCATGAAAAGGCTGTCAGTACTCATTACTTCTATAAAATGGACCAAAAAAACATAAAGATGATCGTTTGCATTTTAGGCTTACAACCTTTTATAGATAAGCTATGATAATTTAAAAAATATGACTTTTTAAAACAAACCAGCCAGAACCTGTATGTTGTATAGTCACTGTGAGATATTTATTATATTCTAATTATGTAAATAGTATCCAATCCATTTTTAGGGGTGTTCTTTTTGAACTTCCACTTTAGGAACCGAAAGTAGGCGCTATCTCATGACCTTGCTTTTTGACTCCAGTGTCCATTATTTACCAATGAGATGATTCTCTCCCAAACCTGCACTTGACTTCCAGTCCATAAGGCACTCTGCTAAATTTCTCAAGAATTTCTGGGAGTTGGTCATGCAACCAGACAGCTTGTGAGTCCTGCTCTGTTGACTAGGTCAGGAATGCCTTTCGGTCACACACTTCCGCCCACGTTGTCGAGCATCGGCAGTGCTGAGTAAGCAAAACCATGACGTGCACTTAGTGCAGCAGCGGAGGCTGCACTAAGAGGAGCAGATGAGGTAACCCAGGCGGAAAACCTAATCCGAGGTCTCAGATGCTAAACTGCGCTCTGGACTTCAAAGGGCTTCAAACTACCCAATGAGCTAATGGAGAGAATGTATTCCTCTAAGGGTCTCAATCTCCTGCCAAAGAAGTGACTTAGGCATGACAGATACTTTACATTAACTGTCACATATATCACTTATAACTTACTTTCTTTGAGAGCTCTACTCAATTGCTCCATCTTTTCTTTGGCTGTTTTAAGAAGGCGTTGTTCTAACTAAAGGAATAGAAATAAACACATCATTTTCTTTCTTATTCACAACAGTATTATTCAGTACATCTGAGATAATATAGGACATACCTGATAGCTATGTTCATGATTTTTAAATCTTGTGTAATAGTGCATAAATCTGTCAAGTTCCTGAAATCGCTTGTGTTTTTTTTCAGCCTAAGAAACAGAAGTACACAAAGGACTTTTATAATATAAACAAAAGTACTAGCTATTAAAATTGGACTTTTTTTGACCACACAAAAAATTTTTATTAGTAAAAGACAGTAATGCATACAAATTTGTTGCTTGCTTTGTTGAGAAAATAATAACCAGTACATTTTCAATGCTTTCCAGAATAAAGTCTTGCATTTGTATTTTCTGTGACAAGCCACTGAACCCACTATTCCCAGAGTGTGAAGTAAATATGTCTCTCAAGCCCTATGGTCATCACATCTTCAGTGTTTTATTATACTGTTTATTGCTATGGACCGAAAAGTGTCTCCCATCAAATTCATGTTGAAGGTCTAACCCCCAACGTGACTGTACTTGGAAACAGGCCCTGTGATATCACCCTGAGGTGATAAAGGTAGAACAAGGTCCTGAGGCTGGAGGTCTAATCCAGCAGAGCTGGTGCTCTTACAAGAAGACGGAGGGACACCAGAGCTTGCTGTCTCCTCACTGTGAAGACACAGTACAGAGACAACTGTCCAGAAGCCAGGAACAGACTCATCACCACAAAACCGAACTGGCACAGATCCTGATCCTGGACTTCGCAGTCTCAAGAACTGTGAAAAATACATTTTTGTCATTTGAGCCACTTGGTCTATGGGATTTTGTCATGGCAGCCAAGCAGACTAAGATATTTATTGTGTGAAATAACAATATCATATTATTGCTATAAAGTTAAAATTATTTTTAAGTCATTTTAGAGATATGCTGGGAGATATGTCTTTTCTGATATTACCCATACAAACAAGGAAAAAAAAAAAGAGCCTAGGCTTACAGAGCCATTTTGTTTAAAGTAAAGGCTATTTAAAAGTGTATTGAATTTAATGCCTCATTACAATAAAGGAGGAAAAGAAGAAATGCACAACACTCCCAGTGGTACAAGAGGCTTAAACGGCTCCTCTACCTCCACAGTCATTTCCTTGGACTGCTCCTCCACATGCTGGATGACTTCATAGCGGGTACACCTGTAATATCCTCCAGTGGAAGAGCTATGCTTTTTCCATTCTTCCAGACAAATCCAGCAAAAGTCATACTTGCACTGCAAAAGAAACACGTGCAAACATATCTCCCCATGTTGGTATGCAAATCACTTTCCAATTCTTAGTTGATCAGTTTGTTAAGAGACTGAACAATCCTGCCTGTGTGACCAGGGACACAAACCTTCTCAAAGACAAGCTCTCTGTTTCAGGTCTTCTCTGAAGGCCTGATCTGCATTATGGAACGATGTGGGGGTAGTTTAAAATTATTGTTTATAAGGATAAATTAAAATATAAATAATATTATTAAGTAATCTCAAGAAATCTTTAAAAATATCAATATGATACTTTTTCCAAATAACAGAAACAGATCCTGACAAATGTTTCATTTTTCATGTGCATAGTAATCTTACTTTGGTCTCTAAAGCTCTACGAGTGTATTTGAAAACTTCTGTTGACTTTGACAAACTGGTTTTGAAACTAGGAATAAGTTAAAAAGGTCTTCAATCAGAACATCTAGCAAAAAACCTATTTCTCATTAAAAAAAATTCTTTCTTAATTAGTGTAACTTGCAAACAATGTTAAAAATATGAGCATTCCAGTATGAAAATATATCCATTTTTTTTTTCTCTTAAATGCTTATGGATTTTGAGTCAGAAAGATCTTCCTAATTTAAATTGATGTTTTCTCATGGTAAGTTTACAGCTTATTTTTAAAAAATATTTACATCTTTGATCCGTTCAGAATGTATCTGGGTATTCAGTATGAATTAAACTTTTGTCCACGTGGCTGTCCAGCTGTCTCAGTACCATTTATTACACAGCCCACATTTCCCTACTGGTTGGCGATGCACTAAATCACCATGAATGTATCTATATTCTGGGCTTTCTTTCGTTGATCTGTAGATTCATGTGCCAGAGCTATGCTGTTTTAATTACTGAGCCTTTATAGTGTGGCCTACTATTTGGACAAGGATAGTTCCTCCTCACTGTTCTTTTTCAGAGTTTTCTGGCTCTTATTTCGTTTCTCCATATGAATTTTTGAATTAACCAGTCTAGATGCAGAAATAAAACCTGCTGGTAGAGAGAAGTATAACTTTCCAAAACTGAACCAGGAAGAAATAGAAGATCTTAACAAAACCATCACAAGCAAGGAAATCGAAACTGTAATCAGAAATCTTCCAGCAAACAAAAGCCCAGGACCAGATGGCTTCACAGCTGAATTCTACCAAAAATTTAGAGAAGAGCTAACACTTATCTTACTCAAACTCTTCCAGAAAATTACAGAAGGTAAACTTCCAAACTCATTCTATGAGGCCACCATCACCCTAATTCCAAAACCAGACAAAGAGGCCACAAAAAAAGAAAACTACAGGCCAATATCACTGATGAACATAGATGCAAAAATCCTTAACAAAATTCTAGCAAACAGAATCCAACAACATATTAAAAAAATCATACATCATGACCAAGTGGGCTTTATCCCAGGAATGCAAGGATTCTTTAATATCCACAAATCAATCAATGTAATACACCACATTAACAAATTGAAAGATAAAAACCATATGATTATCTCAATAGATGCAGAAAAAGCCTTTGACAAAATTCAACATCCATTTATGATTAAAACTCTCCAGAAAGCAGGAATAGAAGGAACATACCTCAACATAATAAAAGCTATATATGATAAACCCACAGCAAGCATCACCCTCAATGGTGAAAAACTGAAAGCATTTCCCCTGAAATCAGGAACAAGACAAGGGTGCCCACTCTCACCACTACTATTCAACATAGTTTTGGAAGTTTTGGCCACAGCAATCAGAGCAGAAAAAGAAATAAAAGGAATCCAGATAGGAAAAGAAGAAGTGAAACTCTCTCTGTTTGCAGATGACATGATCTTCTACATAGAAAACCCTAAAGACTCTACCAGAAAATTACTAGAGCTAATCAACGAATACAGTAAAGTTGCAGGATATAAAATTAACACACAGAAATCTCTTGCATTCCTATACACTAACAATGAGAAAACAGAAAGAGAAATTAAGGAAACAATACCATTCACCATTGCAACAAAAAGAATAAAATACTTAGGAGTATATCTACCTAAAGAAACAAAAGACCTATACATAGAAAACTATAAAACACTGATGAAAGAAATCAAAGAGGACACAAACAGATGGAGAAATAGACCGTGTTCATGGATTGGAAGAATCAATATTGTCAAAATGGCTATACTACCCAAAACAATCTATAGATTCAATGCAATCCCTATCAAACTACCAACGGTATTTTTCACAGAACTAGAACAAATAATTTCACAATTTGTATGGAAATACAAAAAACCTCGAATAGCCAAAGTAATCCTGAGAAAGAAGAATGGAACTGGAGGAATCAATCTGCCTGACTTCAGACTATACTACAAAGCCACAGTCATCAAGACAGTATGGTACTGGCACAAAGACAGAAATATAGATCAATGGAACAGAATAGAAAGCCCAGAGATAAATCCACGAACCTATGGTCACCTTATCTTTGACAAAGGAGGCAAGGATATACAATGGAAAAAAGACAACCTCTTTAACAAGTGGTGCTGGGAAAACTGGTCAACCACCTGTAAAAGAATGAAACTAGAACACTTTCTAACACCATACACAAAAATAAACTCAAAATGGATTAAAGATCTAAACGTAAGACCAGAAACTATAAAACTCCTAGAGGAGAACATAGGCAAAACACTCTCCGACATAAATCACAGCAGGATCCTCTATGACCCACATCCCAGGATTTTAGAAATAAAAGCAAAAATAAACAAATGGGACCTAATGAAACTTAAAAGCTTTTGCACAACAAAGGAAACTATAAGCAAGGTGAAAAGACAGCCCCCAGATTGGGAGAAAATAATAGCAAACGAAGCAACAGACAAAGGATTAATCTCAAAAATATACAAGCAACTCCTCCAGCTCAACTCCAGAAAAATAAATGACCCAATCCAAAAATGGGCCAAAGAACTAAACAGACATTTCTCCAAGGAAGACATACAGATGGCTAACAAACACATGAAAAGATGCTCAACATCACTCATTATCAGAGAAATGCAAATCAAAACCACAATGAGGTACCATTACATGCCTGTCAGGATGGCTGCTATCCAAAAGTCTACAAGCAATCAATGCTGGAGAGGGTGTGGAGAAAAGGGAACCCTCTTACACTGTTGGTGGGAATGCAAATTAGTACAGCCACTATGGAAAACAGTGTGGAGATTTCTTAAAAAGCTGGAAATAGAACTGCCACATGACCCAGCAATCCCACTTCTGGGCATACACACTGAGGAAACCAGATCTGAAAGAGACACGTGCACCCCAATGTTCATCGCAGCACTGTTTATAATAGCCAGGACATGGAAGCAACCTAGATGCCCATCAGCAGACGAATGGATGAGGAAGCTGTGGTACATATACACCATGGAATATTACTCAGCCATTAAAAAGAATTCATTTGAATCAGTTCTAATGAGATGGATGAAACTGGAGCCCATTATACAGAGCGAAGTAAGCCAGAAAGATAAAGACCATTACAGTATACTAACACATATATATGGAATTTAGAAAGATGGTAACGATAACCCTATATGCAAAACAGAAAAAGAGACTCCGATGTATAGAACAGACTTGTGGACTCTGGGAGAAGGCGAGGGTGGGATGTTTCAAGAGAACAGCATTGAAACATGTATATTATCTAGGGTGAAACAGATCACTAGCCCAGGTTGGGTGCATGAGACAAGTGCTCGGGCCTGGTGCACTGGGAAGACCCAGAGGGATCGGGTGGAGAGGGAGGTGGGAGGGGGGACAGGGATGGGGAATACATGTAAATCCATGGCTAATTCATTTCAATGTATGACAAAAACAACTGCAATGATGTAAAGTAATTAGCCTCCAACTAATAAAAATAAATGGAAAAAAAAAATAAAACTAATGAAAGCTGCAAAAAAAAAAAAAAAAAACCTGCTGGTATTTTTGTTTCAATCTTTCTAAGAACTTTGTTAGCTTTCCATTTGTTTGTCGGCTTCTGTGACCTAAAGTTAGAGGTCTCAACATTTTCTTCAGGTACTCTTACACGTTTCTTAAGCTTCTTTCTAGATAAAGGAAGTCTTTTCTTTCAGCATATACTCTATCTGGGTGTTGCTGGAACACATGAAGGCTATTACTCTCTGTGTATTACTTTTGTATTCTGCTAATTAAATTTTTATTGTTTGCAATAGTTTTTCAGTTAACTCTTGTGGGTTTTCTAGGTATACAATCATGCTGTCTGTAAAAAAAAAGACAATTTTATTACCTCATTTCTAATCTTTACATCCTCAATTTCTTTTCATTGTTGAATTATGTTGACTGGTATCCTTGGTCCAATGTTAATAATATTTGTGATGAGAGCATTTTTATGTTGTTCTCAATTTTAGGAGAGTACCACTAGTTTCCCCACTAAATACCATGCTAATTTTTGGACTAAGGTAAATTTATTTTTATCATACTTAAAAGGAAAATGATATGTATTCCTGAGTTTTTGTTAAATGCTTTTCTAGCATCTATAGAAAATTTACATGGTTTTTCTTCTTGTATCTACTAAGTTGAGGTACAGTAATAGCTTTTTAAATATCAAGCCTTTCTTATATTCCTGAAATAAACCCCATGTGACTAATCACCTTTTTAAAAAATTAAAAACATGTTTTTTCATTTAGATATAACCAATGGTCAATTACTCTTCTAATGCACTCTGCTGGATTATATTTGTTAACATCTGTATTTTTCTCCTCCAATATCTTATTTAGGACTCATTCATTGTTATTCATAAATAAGACTGATCTATACTTTCAATGGGGTTCCTAGGTGGTGCTAGTGGTAAAGAACCCGCTTGCCAATGCAGGAGACTCGAGATAGGTGGGTTCGATCCCTGGGTTGGGAAGATACCCTGGAGAAGGAAAGGGCAACCTGCTCCAGTATTCTTGCCAGGGAAATCCCATGGACAGAGGAGCCTAGCGGGCTACAGTCCTTGGGGTTGCAAAGAGTTGGACATGACTCAGTGTGTGCGTGTGTACACATACGTGCGCAGTGCATACACACACATACACATTCAATATTTATCAAGCGCTCATATCAAAGTTCTACTCATTTTACTGCTTTTAAAGAAGACATTGTTGAAAAAAACTCTTCTGGGGAGTGAGTTTGTTCAGATATTTCTTCTAGGGTTAGTTCAATAAATTAAATTTTCTTAGAAAATCAATCCATTTCAAGTCCAAGTTCAAATTTATCTGAAAGAGTTGAGCAAAATTATCTATTACTATTTAACATTCTATGATAAGAAATTTTACATTCTATGATAAGAAAAAGAAAACAGAACTTTGATAATCTGTAATTTTTTAGTTGCAGGATATAAATTTTCCACAGAGCCAGATCAAATTTCAAGTGATTTAAAATGTGTAAGAATATAAAATTTAAATAGTTTCCTAAAAATCATCTAAAGGGAAATGAATTTTTAAAAAAATGAACCTATTTTTATATTGCCACATCTATCATTATATTTCACAATTTGATTCCAGATAGTAAAACCTATCTATTGAGCAATAACAAACACTGAAGAATTAATAAAGGTATATTATCATTTAGTCATTGTGTTAGAATATGGATTCAATTACATATGACTTCTTGTTCTACCTTAATAGTTAAAAAGAAAAAACTCTACAAGCATCAAGACTTTCACTTTCTAGATGTCTCCTTTTATGTCATAAGAATGAAAGAATTACTCATCAGTTTCCTCTGTTGAATGCAAATACTAAAACAACAAAATTCTGTAAAGTGATTATCCTTCAATTAAAAAAAAATAGGATAGGACAGGGCCTGAGTTTGCTAGAATGAGATAGGACAGGGCCTGAGTTTGCTGGAAATAATTTTATTTGATAATGTACAGAAATACTGACCATAAGAAATAGGTATGTGTTTACATACATATAATTTTAAATCAACTATTAAAAAATGTTGAGCAACAACAACAAAAATAAGACTATTCTTATAGAATGTAAGTTAAGTGCTCCTTTTATATGTAACAGAAGCTTAAGCAAACTTTAAGCTAAGTTACCCTGTATCATTAGCCTGATTAGTTCATGAAAATTTTATTTACTGTTGGTGAGTGCTATGACTGAAATAAAGGTAACGGTGGATTTGGTCTTTTTATTAGTACTCCAGCTGTTGATTTTTTATGGTCAACCTTTTGTTGTGTAAAAAATTTTCTTTTACACATCTATGTAGTCTGTATCAGACTGTCCAAGAAAAAACTAATATGAATGTTGGAAACACAACTGCATATGAATGAAAGAATTTTGGCCTGATCAGCTGAACTAACAAGCACTCCTGAGCATTCAGAATACTGTACAAAGTTTTTCTTCTGAGGAAATCACTGTTGTCTCACTAGGACAATTCACTCATGTTAAGTTATTATAATATAAAATCATCTGGTAACTGTCATTATTTTTGAAGTCATAGTAATAATCATCATTAGCTTCAAGGTAAAAAATCAGTATGTACTTAGAGAAGATATTGATGTCTTTTATCGAAATTTTAACTGTATGGGCTTCTTTCACATCCTAAATCAGAATAATTATATTGTTCTTCTCTCAATAATTTTAAATAAGTATTTTTATATACATGGCAATTTCAAGGAAAAGGAAAAAAACTGAGATAATACAATTAAACAAAAATGGTCATGAAAGTAGGCATGGGTTAATAAAATATTCTTAACTTCTAGAATATTTGTTTTAAATATAGTAGCTTCTTTCTGTGCAACTAGGTCAGGAGGGTAGCCTTTTGAAAGTAATTATGTATATTAATTTTTAGCCAAGTGACATTTTCACTTTCAATATAGTAATGAGTTACTTATTTAATTGATTTTATTAGCAAATCTAAAGTGTGAACACTGCTTTGGGCACTTTTCTTATACAGGATTTAAATTTGGGCTTAAAGGAGTTGCTTGGGGCCTGATTTGAACCTTGAGACGAAGCAGTATGCTCCAAAATAAGCTTTGTAACATCTCTATGTAAGGCAGCACTTGATCATTTACACATTTACATATACACAGAACTCTCTCAGGATCAAGAACTCTGGCATCTCTGATGTGAACGAGGACCATCGAATCCTTACCTTTGTTTTTAACATTCACTATGATTGTAAAATTTAGTAATATAAATCAACATTTGTGTTAATTAACAAAGAATGTAGAATACAATCTCCTAGAATCACTCTGAAAGACAAGATTTTTATGCTTACAGTATTTTTCCTTTGGATTCACAATCAAATTAAGGTTCTAACCGCAAAGCAAGTACAATCCTCTTTAACTTACCTTAGCACACTGCATATGATTGCATCCCTCATTCTTCTGTATTGGAGACTTACAATTAGCACAAGGCTTGGAATTAGTTAACAACCAGAGACAATTGGCAGCATCCTCATAAGCTTCACTGACTCCCACGACTTTGGGGTATTAAGCACAAATGCAAAAATAAACAATTTAGTGTACAACTTCAGATGGAAAAACACTCAAAGTTTTCTTTGCAGGATGCCTCTCAATTTTAAATATATATACTTATTTTCCTATCAGAGACTTCTGTCAGAGTCTATGGCAAAGTTTTTAACCCATGATTATTTAAGATAAAACTAAAAATGAATCCAACGACATGTCTAGAACTAAACTCATCATTTCCCCCAAATCTTCTCCTTTCCCTATCCCCTGCCCTGGTAAATGATTATCTACCCAGAATCAATCTAGGAAGAACATGATCTTGGACTTCTTCCTCTTTGTCTCATCAGCTGTATCCCATGGGTTCTATCTCTTACTCTCTCATGTCCATATCCTCTCCATTTCCAGGTAGGATCCTCCAAAGCTTTTGCCTAGACAATTAAAACACAGAAACCAACTTATCTCCCCAGATCCTTCTCCCTCGTCCCCCAAACCCACACTATATTGCCTCTGTAAGATGATCTTTTAAAAATACAAACCTTTAAATCTTTTAGTTGTTTCTCACTGACTACAAGATTAATCAAATTTCTTTAGCAAAGAACACAACGGCCTTCATGATTTGGCCACTGACTGACTACCTGGCAAGGTCCTCCCACCTCTATCCCCACACCAACCTTATCCTCTTCACCATCTTATAAACCATTTATTCTATTTTAATATGAGATCTGCAAGCTTAAAGAATGCCAGGGTTTTTAAGGACTCTAAATTTTACATTTTATATTCTATAAATCCCTACCACCACCTACGGAGAGATTTAGGGGCTGGAGAGAGTGGCACACGAGTAATTTAAAATTTATTTTTTCCTGCAAGATTGTCAGTACTCAAGTTTGTTTTCTAATTTCAAGTACAAAGGGAAGTTCTACCTTTTCTACACTGAAAGAGATTCTGAAAATCACTGTGAAATCCTTGAGAGGTCCATTCTGTTAAGGCCCTCATTATATGCAGATTGTCTAGAAAGGGTGGGGTACGAGGTTAGCCCTACAGATGAAAACAGTGGAGAAATCAGACTCTAAGTTCTGAAGTCTACAAGAAAAAGCCACCCAACTCCCAGATTCAAACCCCTGAAGAGGGAAGGGGACAAAGGTTTGAGCGGGCTGACCCCTGGGAAGTGGCTCTGCACTTGCACTGGAGGCGCTGAGCAGCAGCAGCCCTCTGACGGAGCCCAGCAGTGGAGGGGACGGCGTCCTGCCACAAGGAGCCCTTAGTGTCTACCTGCTTAAGTCGGCGTCAACAACAGAAAAGCAGCTACTGCTCGACTGTAAAGCACTGCTATTCCACACAGCAGAGAGAAACAACTGCAGCAATGAATTGCTGACTCCACTCCTTTTCTAAACCCACGTGGTAAGACGGTTTCATTAGGGTGCTGGTGCAGAGAATTCTTTGATAATTTGGTGGAAAACAGGAGTTTCAGAAGGAACTTACTACCCTTACCCTTAGCGGCTGCTAATCAACTCTGGAGGTAATGCTGTTTACCAAGGGTGCTGCTATAAAACCTAATTTCTAAGTACAATGTCTGATTTTTGTTTAAAAGTACTGGCCTTTCTCCTCCCTTTAGCAACATTATTTTTAGCTCAGAGGCTCCAACATTTTCTTATGACCTTTATTGTCCATTGTTACAATAAATAAAGCACAAAGGCATTTAAACAAAGCGGCTGTGTGGCCTGCAACATAACAGTTTTCTTTCTCGCACCCTTGGAGAAAGAATGCTAGTTTCTGATTGCATTCTAGGGGATTACATGAAGTAAATGGTGTTCAGAAAATAATCGACTATCAGAACAACAAATCCTTGTGCTAGAAAAAAATGCCTTCACTACCAGTGCTCTGAACATGCTCATTTCAGACATCTGCCCTTTGTATATCTTTTCTCAGTATCTTCAACATGCAAGGTCCCTTCAATCTACCTGGTGAGCCCTCTTCACCCCTTCAGACTTCCAAACTCTTCTTTCAGCTGCATGTCTAATATAGCTTGATCTTCGTTCCTTAATAATCTAGTCTCTTTGTAAGAAAAATTAACTTCATTTAATCAAGTATTACAGTATAACAATATATTAATAGAATCAACATCCATAAGTGAAACAAAGTTGCTTTTAAAGACTTTATTGTGAAAAAAAAGACAATTCTTAAAAAAACTATTTGAACTTCATTTAATAACTATTATTATGAAAACACACTGGTGTTTAATTTTTATAAATTATCATTTCACAGAAAATATAATCATTCCTGTTTCTTGCTCTGATTAGCTACAAAAGAGGTAGGTGTGGTACTGAAAAACAATGTTTCAACTATACATGGAATTAATTATTTCAACTGAGCTCAGTATATTTTCTAGTATTTCTCTCATCAATTAGACTTTGTCACTCCTTTTAAGTCTCATAATTCAAAGACTGGAAAACCAGGGATAAGGGAGAAAACAATCTCATGAATCTACCAGTTCTGTTGAAAATTCTTATGCCAAATATATGTGACCCTGACCCAAACTAATATGTAAACCCAATACAGCAGGAAATCAAACTTTTCCTTTTTAGAGTATTATTTTTGTATTAGTATATTTAACGATGATGTTCTACTTATGTATTACAATTGGCCTATTATTGTTTGCTTTAAGTCTTACCATAAATTTCATACACTTCAAAGTGGCTATTAAGAGTTTACTGGTCACCACCAGCTTTCACTGTGGTGGGTATGCATCAGGACAGTGAGAAAGTTTTCTCAGCAAGAGGGAATTTTCTCATCTAGGAGAGAGGTAGGGAAAGCTTTATAAAAATACCTGATGCCTAAGCTGGCCAGTTAGCTCAGTTAGTTAGAGAGCGTGGTGCAAAAAATACTTGATGCCTAAGCCATATCTTGAAAGGTGATAGATGTTCTTTACATAGATGGAATAGGAAGGGCATTCTAGGCTCATGTGCAGTAGGGCTGTGAAATAGCATGGCGTATCCAAGACCGCACGTGCAGGGGTAGGGTTGTGTGTAATGCTGGGAATTTTCTCTGCAGTCTTGCTGTTGGCTCCCTCTACAGTAGACCACTTGTGGGTGTCCTGGGTCTCTTGCTTCCTATCCAATTTTCTAAAGTTCCTCCATCTTTCTGAAATAAGATACCATTTGGGACTCTTTGAGGGTGATCTCCAGTTTTTAACTTGAGGTCTCCCTATCTCTGGGCACCAGAGATAGCCATGTATGCACCGTGTGCACCATTTTCTAATTCTATTTGTCTTCTTTCTTCATTATCAAGATCTTTATCTTATGCAAGGATATTCTGTCACAGTTCCACCAAGAGTCCCTAATTCATCATCCACACTTGCACCTGACTGATTGTTCTAAGCAAACATCTTCAGTTATCATCCACATTTGCACCAAAAAGGAGTTTTGAGAAAGGAAATGATAACTGAAGATGTTTGCTTAGAACAATCAGTCAGGTGCAAGTGTGGATGATGAATTAGAAAATGGTGCACACAGTGTATACATGGCTATCTCTGGTGCCCAGAGATAGGGAGACCTCAAGTTAAAACTGAAGATCACAGTCAAAGAGTCCCTCCTTTAGTCTATCACTCCTAGTCATCAGTTATCTTAATAAACAATATCTTTAACGATGTTATTTCCCTACTCAAACACTGCATTCTACGGCTTATTCTGTTAATAGGATAAATTCAGACAACTTGGCAAGAAGTCTTTCAATCTGGCAATACCTATCTTTCCAGCCTCATCTTTTGCAAATTTCTCCCATGGACCTTAATTTTAAACTCAACAGAATGTATAAAGACACGCAGGTAGGTGGGCAATAGCAAGCCATCTCTAATGGAAATATAGATGTTTCCAGGTGTTAGAAGCAGGAAAAGAAAGCAAAACCCAATCATCTTACCATATTTAAATGTGTTGGAGGGTAATGGTATTAGTCTCTCTATGGAACTCTCATATACAGACATACTACACACAGATGAGAACAGGGAAAATGGGTGGGTAACTGGAGAGCAATGACGCAGTCTATCTACCTGGTACTCAGAAGAGAGATACGATGAACCAGGGGACCAAGAACAATCTATACAAGCCTTTCTGATTTGGGAAGCAGATGTTCAGAAGATATTTGACTGAATTATGAATGTTCAGGGAAGAAATGATTAATCAGATATCACTATAAAATATCCTAAGACTATCCAGTTGCCTTTGCTCCTGTTTAAAGGACATGTGTTTTCTCATCATGTGAAAGAGATCGTCCTCATGGGCTATTAATAAACTGGTATTCTAGTCTGCCTAAGTTGTCTCTTTTCCATGGGTCTGAATAATCCGCAGTCAGTGTACAATGTCATCTTGTGAATATAAAATGCTGAGAACCATTTTTCAGGCAATGGTATACTGTCCAATGTAACAGTAACACAGGTCTGAGGAGCTCAAGGCTGCCAGCCAGTCTCTTCCAGTGCTGCTTTAGTTGCTGACAGATATGCCTCTGCAGTATGCTAAAACTCAATTCATATCTTGCTGCTGTCAGGAGGATTCCTTAACATCCTCTGTCCCCAACCTAGTTAGCTGTTATTGTACTCTCATCTAACCTATGTTAGCTATCATATGATGCTATAATATCTGACTGCTTCCCTACTAGCCTCTGTGCTCCCTGGAGACCGATGTCATCTTTATTATGTGCTTTGCTCATAATAAGTGTAGATGAAGCACGTGAATTCTTAATCCTGAATTGCAATACCTCTAACGCCAATGTTTAAAAAGTAAAAAAACTCCAAATTAGTTTTAATTTATATTAATTTAAAAGAAAACAGCTGTCATAAAATACACCGGGGGTAAAAAATTATGGTAAAGCAGATATATTTACCTGTCAAACATAGGAAATGCTATTAGGAAGGCTAATTAAAACCTATTCTATTTGCCCTGTGTCACTCAATACGTTAGCTTCTTATCTGTGCAATGGCATAACTAGCATCAGTCTCACAGCATTTCTGTGAGGATGAACAGAGACATTATACTTAGAGACATCTCATTAAAAACTAGTTAAACAGACATCGCATTTACTATAAGTAAATGTACAGAACCACATAATAGCAAGAAACTGACTTGCCTTACCCTCTACTGGAAGCTTCCTCTCAGTACAGACCATGCATTTCTTCTCATGAAGTCTAGAAAAGCTGGTGAGCTCACTCCAGGATAAAAGGGAAGGACTACAGGAGCAGAACTTAGTGTGACCTTGTCTACCTTGGAGTCCTAGTAAGTCCATTAAAAGCATGGAACCTGTCTATACTTCCCCCGAGCTCTCCAAAATGATACTGGCTAGAGGGCTTCAAAGGGGAGCTCTGCATTAACAAACTTGAAAACTTTAGAAATGAAGACTAAGAAACAGGACCACATTATCTTTGGAATGCTATTAGAAAATATGTAGCTATCTAAAATTCCCCTTACGTTCTTCCGGTTTCATTTCAGTTATTTTTTGTAGCCAGTTTTTCCATGTTTGGCAGTCACAAGGCTCATGGGCTTCACCAAGGCACTCCCTGAAGAGGAAAACATGGAAAAGGCAATTTAAAAACATCCTTCATCAACATCAAGGTAAAAGAGCAGGTACCGTTTTGAATGTAAAGTTGAGAACACTGAGGCACAGCGGCCACTGGGAGACGAGGCATTTCAGTAGAGGAATGCAAGCATGACTCTACAGCGCGGCAGCACTAGGCCAGAGTTTTCCTTCAGCAGTGCATTTATTCACACATTTTAAAAAGCTCTGAACAGATTAACTAATATTTACAATTTAGTCCTTCAGCCTCCCGGGCGGTGCTAGAGGTACAGAACCTTCCTGCCAACACAGGAGACGCAGGTCTGACCCCTGGGTGGGGAAGACGCCCTGGAGGAGGAGATGACAACCTGCTCCAGTATTCTTGCCTTCTGAAAGCTGGTGTGGGTTGTCGTTCCCTTCTCCAGGGATCAAACCTTCATCTCCTGTATCACAAAGAGTTGGACATGCCTGAAGTGACTTAGCCCGCAGGCAGGCCTTAAGAGCGGTAAAGATATTTTTATCATTTAGGTTCTGTCTCACTAACAGTTTAAATTTTTGCAATTCAAAGTGTGTTTCCCTGGGGAACAGCACTGCCATTACTTGGGAGCTTGTTTATGTGCAGAGGAGCAGATCCCATAAAACATACTGAATAGAATCTGCCTTTTCTCAAAATCTCCATATGACCCTTCTGCATTTTAAAGTTTGGGAAGTACTATTTTATATCACATTCTTGTCACTACTTTTACCTCTGAATCCCCAAGTAACAGCAAGGGCAATCTAATTTACTTTCAAGTCTTTGACAAATCCTAATTTTCTGTTCTATTGGCATTTGGCAAATTTTGATTTAAATAATAAAAACCATATCAATTTATTATTTTTAACTTAATTATATATTCTTTCTATAGGCAGGCATATAAAAGTCAAACATTAAAAATGACATAGAACCATTACAAACTGTTTAATTTATATTCTATAGGACAAATTGTTACAGTTAATAACAAAATATCATTTTTTGGGAAAGAAAATGGTGCCATCATCACCATTATCATCACCAGTGTCATTTTAAACAAAAATCTCATTTTACAATCTAGCTTTGTTAAGAAGATGTGCCAACTGACAGGTAGAGTCTTACAAACAATTATGAGGTAACATTCCACTGTGTTAAGAATGTATCAATTCTACTTCATACCCATGGCTACTATTTTTGAAAAACAAGACAGAACAAGTGTATGGAAGAATGTGGAAAAACTGGAACCCCTGTGCATTGCTGGCAGGAATGTAAAATGATGTTATGGAAAACACTTTGGTATAGTTCCTCAAAGAGTTTCAACAGGATTGAAAACAAGGACTCAAACTTTTATGCCAATGCTCATAACATTATTCACAATAGCCAAAAGATGGGAACTAGACTGTTCACTGACATATGACTGGATAAACAATGAATATATACACATTATATATATACACAGTGAAGTATTAGTCATAAAAAGGTATATCTATACACAATGAAATGTCAGTCATAAAAAGGAATGAGCTTGTGATACATGCTATAACATGGAAAGAATCTTGAAGACGTGTTAAGTGAAATAAACCAGATACAAAAGGACAAATATTGTATGACTCCACTAGAATCGGGACACTCATAGAGACAAAAAGTAGAATGATGGTTACCAGCAGATGGGGTGGGGAGTTACTGCTTAATGGTCACAGAGATTTTGTTTGGGATGATAAAAATGTTCTAAAATGGATGGGGTGACAGTTTCACAACACTGAATGCACTTAATGCCATCGAATTGTACACCTAAAAAAAAAAATCACTATGTACTCCCTGAAAGAATAATTTTCTTAAATTTCTGATTATTACCATGTTTGGGGAATCTTTTCCAAAACTGGTTTTATATAGCTCCTTAGTAACTTAGTTATAATTTAACAGCCTTCAAAAAAAAATATTGGGTTGATTAAAAGTGGAGGTAGATGTATTCAGTATTATTTTAGCACATACTAAAATCAACTCTGCTTTCCAGAAATGTAAGGTATATCTGTTGTAACTGTTCATTTTAATTTGACACATATATTAGAGTAAGAAATACACCACAGATCTAAGAACAGTATTTTCATGTGTTGTCTGAAAATGGAATACAGAATCTATATTTCTCATGAATCATCAAAAAAACCCCAAATGAACATAAAAAACCAAAGTGCAGAAATTTTACATATCTGCAATATCTAAAACAAAGCAAACGAAGTCAGTAAAATAAATTATTTCCAATAAGTTTAGGATTTCCCTTCTCCCCCGGAAACTAAATAGCATATTCAATATTTTTTCCTAGTAGAATCAGTATCAGTATGACTGACTGTGCTGTCAGCACATTTTCTGACAGAAAAAAGAAAAATAATAATGGAGGAAGGAGTCCTTTGCTTTCAAATAGAGTCTGAAAGAAATGAATGCCACGTCTTCAAAAGGCCATACTTGCGTACTAGTGGGTTTGGCTCACTGAGGCCATGCTGCATTAGAGAGCAGTATCAGTTTTTCTTTCCTAAAACCTCACAGGAGGGCACAGGTGCTTCCTCAATCACTAGCCTAATCAGTATGATCACATCTGAGTGTTACAGCCCATTGGCACAGTTTCTACCACTTTCCAATGCAACGCTAATGGGTATAAAATGCAATGGGTAGGAAAAGAAGCACATAAATAAAGGAGAAGCTAAAGCAAAAACCGCGACTGAGGAAGTGTTGCCATTGAATACCACTAAGTTTCTCTGAAAACTAAGGCATAAGAGAAAACAAGCCTGAACTTCTGCAAAGCACAGTAATGACAATGCTGTCAGATGTTAATAGGTCACTGATAATCTAGATCTCGCCAGTGCAGGAAGAGAGAGTATTCTGATAGAAATAATGAAGACACTGGAAAGTTCTGCAGATGCTGGAAAGCTAAACTCCTGAAGAAAGTGTTAACCAAGACACCAATGACCGGTGGCAAATACTTTGACAAATTGCCATCACACAGGCTACTGGGAGAAAGCATTGTAGGTTCAGTTATCAGGGGCACAGAACTTGTTGGTAAACAAGTTAGAACAGAAGGGCTGTCCTGTGGTGGGAAGGAAAATGCCCACTCCCACCCTCTCTCCTAACAATGAAGTATTCATTCTGTCTAGGCAGACATATCCCGCGGACAGCTCTCAGTTGATTCCGTCACATTTAGTTCTTAAAAAGAAGAAATTATTATTGGCATTTCTGATGGCTTTTGCAATCATATTTAGCAAGTATTTTTGAACTTTTGGGAGAAACAAAGAAGCAAACCCTGAATCACATGCTTTTATTTTATAAAGATCTCTCTTGCAAAGTTTCCTTTTGCATGAGGCAGATTTTTTGTCTTTGAAACATGAGATAAGGGCAGCAGAATTCTATTTAGAACTTTTTTTTTTCTTAGATTTTCTGACTACAGGCAAAGCTCTGAATATAGTCAGTGAATATGAGTAGGAAGCTATGTAAAAACAAAAAATGCCAATTAATGGTTAGAGAAGTAAAGTAATAGAAAAATCCTAGAAAATACATATATCATACACCTACATATATCATTCTTGTAGCTTAACGAATTTCAAAACTGAAAAGTAACAAGGTTAAGCCTTGAATTGCTATGTTAGAAAATGATGATACTATTCCTATCCTACCACCCTACCACCTAGAGGAGTAAATAAGTGTGATCTTAAATCCACACGACCATCCACAGAACTCTTAAACTGGGATAAAATTCAAACTAGGGCCTGTGACTTTGGCATATAGTTTCCAATGGAGATTGAGTATATCCAGCCTAATATTTTGGGGTATGAGAAAGAGTAAGCTGACATATTTCTCTAAACATTACACTAGAAATGTACAGCTTATAGCATCATGTATGTGTATGCACGTTTTACCATCTAATCTATCTTTGTAGGTTTCTCTATTAGTTTCCATATTTTCAGTTAAGCCACACTTGCTACCGATAGCATACAAAGAGAGGTGGGGAAGAATGTAAGAACATAAAAGCTAATTCTGAGTAAAAACTAATAAAAACTAGACCACAGAAACCAGAGTTTAAGAAGACAATGCCAATCACAGGTTTTTTTTTCCTTTCAAAACTTCATTATCCTCAGATCTCAGGAAATGTTATCATCTTATCCTCTAAACATTTTACTAATCTGTGTTTTCTGTTTTCTAACATCTTATTAATCTATGGTTTCTACTTATGTAGGCTCTCCACCAACCCTCTGAATCAGGTTTCTGTAAACCAGGGAAGCTTCCATGAACCAAAGAGCTCAGAAAATGATTTTCTGAAGGACAGTACATAATTAATAATGCTCTAGGTGGAGTGCTTAAAGGTACTAGAACTTAAGTTTCTCAAGAAAATAACTTCAAATAAGTTCTTTTATTTCCTTATTTTAAATACTCTTACTTTAAATAAAGTAGACTCATATTAATCTAAGGATAATTTATCTACAATTAAGTTTATGTATATTCATTAACTCATTTCCCATTTCTGTTGCTGGATCCTTATCTCTTCTGCTGGGGTAATGAGGTGGAATTAAGGGTCAACCATTGAATAATAAAACATGTAAAATTAAAAATCTGTTACTGCTGTTTAGTCGCTAAGTAGTATCCGACTCTTTTGTGACCCCAGACTACACTGTCCATGGGACTTCCCATGCAAGAATACTGGGGAGGGTTGCCATTTCCTCCTCCAGGGGACCTCCCTAACCCAGAGATCAAAACCACATCTGATTTGGCAGGCGGGTTCTTTACCACCGAGCCACTTCAGTTTAGTTTAGTCACTCAGTCATGTCTGACTCTTTGAGATCCCCATGGACTGCAGCACGCCAGGCCTCCCTGTCCATCACCAACTCCGGAGTTTACTCAAACTCATGTCTGTTGAATTGGTGATGCCATCTAACTATCTCATCCTCTTTCGTCCCCTTCTCCTCTTGCCTTCAGTCTTTCCCAGCATAAGGGTCTTTTCAAATGAGTCAGTTCTTCGCATCAGGTGGCCAAAACATTGGAGTTTCAGGTTCAGCATCAGTCCTTCTAATGAATATTCAGGACTGATTTCCTTTAGGATGGAGAGGTTGGATCTCCTTGCAGTCCAAGGGACTCTCAAGAGTCTTCTCCAACTCCACAGTTCAAAAGCATCAATTCTTCGGTGCTCAGCTTTCTTAACAGTCCAACTCTCACATCCATACACGACTACTGGAAAAACCATAGCTTTGACTAGATGGACCTTTGCTGGCAAAGTAATGTGTCTGCTTTTTAATAAGCTGTGCCACAAGGGAAGCCCAAAAGTAAAAATTAGGCATGTGTTTTTTAAATGTTGTGAAAAACTACCTCATGTGGATACAGGCATGTGGATATACTCTAAATATTTATTCAGTATTTTGTTGCTATTTTACTTGTTAAATCTGATTTAGTTATGAAAATAGTAAACATTGTTTTACTTTTATTAATCACTATATTCAAGAAGTTAGCATAGAAGCCTAGCAAACTTTTTCTGTAAAGGATCAGATAGTAAATATTTTGAGTTTTGCAGGCTACATGGTCTCTGCTACAACTACCCAATACTGTCACAGTCTGAAAGCAGCCACAGACGATAGGTAAACAAACTGACACGAGCGGATATGGCTGTGTTCTAATACTACTTTATTTTAAAAAACTGGTGCAGACACTACGTTGTTGAGCACCTGACCTAGAATTCAGTGCTATATATAGGTTGGCAGTTCAAGTAATAATTTTAGGTAATGATAATGATGATGAGTGTAAGAAATAGACCTTTCATGATAGGGGCATTTCCCTAACTATGCCTTTTTACCATCTAGCAGTGCTACAATTTGACTTTGGATTCTGAAAGGTATACTAAATAAAGATTAGTGTTTTATATCCACTTCAAATATATCCTCGCATATGTGGTAAATCTGGAAATGAGCAAAAAGCATTACAAATACTATTTCTTCCTGTGATCATTAAACAAAAACAAAAGTTATTATAATTGAAACTACTCTGAACAAAGTATAATGCTGATGTTAGATAAACATAGAGTCAAGTGACTACACATTCTGACTATACTGATTATACTGATCCATTATTGATTTATCATTACTGATTTATCATCAGTTCTTACTTACTAAGTACTTATCAGGCACTAGAAATTATATAAAACACAAGATCCATGAAGTGGTTTCTAACTGGGACTGTGCAACAGAATCACATAAGAGTTTTTGTTTTGGAGCCCCACTCCAAAATCCACTAAATCAGAATTTTACTTGTTGGGGTCTAGAATGAAAATATGGAAAAGGTGTCTTATATTAAACTCTGGGCATCCCTGGTTAAGTATCACTGCTAGACACTTCTACTTTAAGAAAAAATACCAAACTTTAAATATTTTCTAATCTAAGGTCAATAATTTGGTATTCAAGTTCAAGTTCATAAGCTCTAGCATCAAACATAGATGGGGTCTGATCTCATTTCTGCCAGTTCCTAGCTATATAGTCCAGGGCAACCACTCTGCATATAAATATCCTTATCTGTAAAATGGTTATAATAACAGCATTCCATTCACAGCACTGTTGGGAGAATTCAATATTTGAAAATTATGACAAGGTGGCTGGCACACATCAAGCACACAGTAAATGTAAACTATCACTACTGTATACATTTTTTAATGAATAATAATGGTATCAAAAATACTACAACTTAAAGGCATGATTCGGAGTATAAAGTCTCTTTAAAAACCGTCAGAAAGGTGACTAGGCTATTCCAACTTGTCCTGTACTGACCAGCAGAAGAGGTGTCCTTTTCCACAGTCCACAGCAGGAGCTCTGAGCAAGGGGAAGCTGAGTGTATCAGACCCAGAGGTGTTTGATCCTTGTTTTGTCAGTCTGACTGCTCTTTCACAGCCTGGAGTAGGACACCATTTAATGGCAGGATTATTTTCAACAAAGGCCTGTTTAAACAGCAATAACAAAACATAAAAAAATATTTTAACTCTCAATTCTAACACAGTGTACCCTATGTCAATTTATTTCAAAGTAAAAACAGAATGAAATGAAAAAGCAAAGAGTAGTCAGTCTCAAGAAATACTTAAAACAGTACTGGAATGTATAAAATAAGAAGGAAAAAATGTGGCAATTACCTTAGTAATAATGTTTAAAATTTATGTATTTTTTAATCTAAGAACCAAGTAGATTGATGATAAGAGTAAAAATGCAACTATTCATACATAAAATGTGTAATTTAAAAATGTTTTCTCACAATATGCCACTTTTCTGATGGAAAATGATTATAATAAATAGAATCTTATTTGAGTATTAGCTGTATTAGAATAATAAATTTCTATATGGTACTTTAATAATACATAAAAATCAATATTACAAACACAGAGTTATCATATGATCCAGTAATTCCACTTCTGCATATATACCCCCAAATAATTAAAAGCAGCGACTGGAATAGATATTTGTACACCCATATGCATAGGAGCATTATTGCTGCTGCTGCTGCTGCCGCTAAGTCGTTTCAGTCATGTCTGACTCTGTGTGACCCCATAGATGGCAGCCTACCAGGCTCCCCAGTCCCTGGGATTCCCCAGGCAAGAACAGTGGAGTGGGTTGCCATTTCCTTCTCCAATGCATGAAAGTGAAAAGTGAAAGTGAAGTCGCTCAGTCACGTCCGACTCTTAGCGACCCCATGGACTGCAGCCCACCAGGCTCCTCTGTCCATGGGATTTTCCAGGCAAGAGTACTGGAGTGGGGTGCCATTGCCTTCTCCGAGGAGCATTACTAACATTAATCAAAAGGCACAAACAACTCAAATGTCCATGGATGAAAGTGTGGATAAACAAAATGTGCTATATGCATTATTGGAATATTACTCAATCTTAAAAAGAAATTCTGATACATGCTACAATGTGAATAAACCTTGAAGACATTAAGCTAAGTATAATAAACCAGGCACATAAGGATAAATACTGTATGATTCCACTTATGTGAAATAATATTAAATGGATATAATACAGTTTATAAGGATAAACACTGTATGATTCTACTTATATGATTAGACCAGGCTTCCCTGGGTCAGGAAGATCCCCTGGGGTAGGAAATGGCAATCCACTCCAGTATGCTTGCCTGAGAAATCCCATGGACAGAGGAGCCTGGCAGGCTCCAGTCTATGGGATTGCAAGAGTCAGACATGACTTAGCGACTAAATCACCACTGCCACCACTTACATAAGATGCCTAGAAACACACAGAGACAGAAAGTAGAACAGTGCTTACTGGTGGCTATGGGAAGGGGAAATGGGGCATTTGTGTTCATGGAAACAGAGTTTCAGTTTGGGATGACGACAAAAATTCGAACCATGAAGGGTAATCAGGGTTGCACAATAATGTAAAAGTACTTAATAACAACAAATTGGTCACTTAAATCTGTTTAAACTGGTAAGGTTTATGTGTATTTTGTCACAATAATGAAAAATGTAAAAAAACCCCCAATATTATGATACTTTCTATGTTAAAGAAACAGTAGGACTTCTTTCTTAAAAGTTAATATATTAGGGTTCAGACTATAAAAAAATCTGAACACACCTGTTAAATCACACAAAAAAGATTTGCACATAGTAAATGACTCCTGAGTAAAAATAAAGAAGATAAGGGAAAAAGAAGATGAAATAAACATTATAATTTATTACATGAAACTATTTCTTGAAATATAAAAAAAAATCCATAAATTTCCAGGTTGATAATCTTTATTTCTAAATTTTTATACTGAGGAGTAAAAATACATCATTTAGAACATTTAAAATTGCTACTATTTAATATGAATGCTTTTTTGACCAATTAGTTACAAAAGTTCAACACACAAATCAACAAATAGTTCTGCATAATAGTTTTATTTTCTGGTAAACTACTATTGCCACTTTTCACTTTTACTTCTATCATGATTATAAAATAATACTTTAGCTTAAAACTTTAATTTAGGCCACTACTCCTTTATTCTGAGAGACAAAAGCCAGAGTCCATTATTTTAGTTTCAAAAATAAAACAAAAAATTAAAATTTTTAATATAGGTTTAATAAAATTTAAATTGTGGCGATTACACAGATAATTGGCAACATACCTTAATATCAAACTGTAGGTATCGTTTGTCCATCTCCTTAGAAACTACACTTTCTATTATATCCACAGGCACAAGTTGGAAGCAATCATACGCAGGGCAGAAAATGTTGTGAGCTTCACCTTCTTGAATTTTCAGATTCAAAAACCTAGTAAAATTGTCAATTGATAGAAAAAAGGCAAGGATACAATTTATTTGCACATTCTAAGAATTTTTTCCTGATGCTGAATTTTCTGTTGGAGTATAATTAAAATACACCAGTAAACAAAGGGTACAGTATCAACTGTAATACATTAACTCACATAATTCACAAACACTGAACATTTATCATCTGCCCAGCCATTCAATACATATGTATGACTATTTATACACATCTATGTTTTATACACTTTTTACATTTGTTTGCTTTGTCCTCTTTAAAAGCTTAAAAATATATTTAAGAGTAAAAATTTAGAAATAAGTGATTTGGAAAAGTCATATTCTATTCTCAGTATTCTATGCCTTTAAAAAGACAGCAATGGTACAGATTTAAGCCACACAAAATTTAAGAGATTTTTGAGACGGCACTGGAATCTAGTGCAACTTTCAGAAGAAAAGGTTTTCTACTTATATTCAGATAAACATTAAAATGTGTTTCATGTCCTACTCTAGGCATACTAGTTGAGGTAGTAGGGAAAAGGCATCCTAGAAAGTGACAGGAACCTAACCCAAGGTCAGTTAAGTGGTCAAGAGCAAGATTTGGAATTAGAAGTCCAGGTCTGCTACTAACAAGTTGTATGTTCTTAAGTAATTAACATTTAAGCGTTCTGTGCCTCAATTTCACTATCTATAAAATGGAGATAACAATATGCACTTCCCAGAGTTGTTTTCAGATTATATGACACAATGTATATGATATATCTACATGGTGCTGGGCACAGAATAAAGAATTAAAAATTTTTTACTGAGGGTTTTCTTACTAATAATATTTCCCTTGGAAAAAGAAGAAACAAACTTTTGAAGTATGAATTTCCCTTGCCTGAGGGAAAAAATCACCAAGACTGATTTCAAAGATCTTACATTCTATGTTTTATTCTAGAAGTTGGTGGTTTCAGGTCTTACATTTCAGTCCTTTAATCCATTCTGAATATATTTTTATGCATGGTATATGAAAGCAGTCCAGTTTGATTTTTTTATACGTGACTGTCTAATTTGACCAGCACCATTTATTGAAAATATTAATACTGTCTCCTCTCCATTGTTTATTCTTTCCTCACTGGTCGCAGATTAATTGCCCATGTAAGTGTGAACTCATTTCAGGGCGCTTTTACTCTGCTCCACAGAGCTCTGTGTTTTGTGCCAGGACCATACTGATTTGATAGCTGAAGCTCTGTTGCTGTTGTTCAGTTGCTCAGCGTGTCTGACTCTTAGCGACCCCATGGACTGCTGCACACCAGGTTTCCCTGTCCTTCCCCATCTCCTAGAGCTTGCTCAAACGCATGTCCATCAAGTTGGTGATGCCATCCGACCATCTTATCCTCGGTTGCCCCCTTTCATCCTGCCTTCTCTCTTTCCCAGTATCAGAGTCTTTTCCAATGAGTCAGCTCTTTCCACAGGTAGCCAAAGCACTGGAGTGTCAGCTTCAGCATCAGTCTTTTCAATGAATATTGAGGGTTGATTTTCTTTAGGATTGACTGGTTTGATCTCCCTGGAGTCTCCTGGAGAGACTCTCAGGAGTCTTCTCCAACACCCCAGTTTAAAAGTATCAATTCTTCGGTGTTCAGATTTCTTTATGGTCCAAGTCTACATCCATACATGACTGCTGGAAAAACCATAGCTTTGACTATATGGATCTTTGTAGTAACGTTTAAAATCAGGGAGTGTGACAAATTTGTCTTCATCTTTCTCAAAATTGCTTTGGCTATTAAGGGTCTTTTGTATTTCCATACAAGTTTTAGAATTATTTGTTCTAGTTATGTGAAAAATGTCCTCAACAATTTTTAATAGTGTAAAGGGGTGCTGAGACTAAAAATTTGAGAACTGCTAATTACAAAGTTGCTTTTTCAACAAAGCAGGAATCTCTTCCTTTTAGCTATGAACAGATATAATTTATCTTAATACTTATATTCCCCTGTCACAGTGCACAATGTACACAGACATAGTTAATATATGATGATGTTTTAAATTTTATGTATTCTAAATATATCAGTGCAGAACTGGAGTGGTGAGCGGCTGAGAGGAGATACCCCATGTCCAAGGTCAGTAGTGGTGGCCGTGAGGAGATACCCCATGTCCAAGGTAAGGAGGAGCGGCTGCACTTTGCTGGAGCAGCCGTGAAGACATACCCCACGTCCAAGGTAAGAGAAACCCTAGTAAGACGGCAGGTGCTGAGAGAGGGCATCAGAAGGCAGTCAGACTGAAGCCACAATCACAGAAAACTAACAAATCTAATCACATGGACCACAGCCTTGTCTAACTCAATGAAACTAAGCCGTGCATGTATGGCCACCCAAGACGGATGGGTCACGGTGGAGAGTTCTGACAAAATGTGGTCCACTGGAGAAGGGAATGGCAAACCACTTCAGTATTCTTGCCTTGAGAATCCCATGAACAATATGAAAAGACAAAAAGATAGGACACTGAAAGAGGAACTCCCCAAGTCTGTGGTTGCCCAATATGCTACTGCAGATCAGTGGAGAAATAACTCCAGAAAGAATGAAGAGACACAGCCAAAGCAAAAACAACACCCAGTTGTGGATGTGACTGGTGATAGAAGCAAGGTCCGATGCTATAAACAGCAATATTGCCTAGGAACCTGGAATGTTAGGTCCATGAATTAAGGCAAATTGGAATTGGTCAAACAGGAGATGGGAAGACTGCATGTCGACATCTTAGGAATCAGCGAACTAAAATGGGCTGGAATGGGTGAATTTAACTCAGATGACCATTAAATCAACTACTGTGGGCAGGAATCCCTTAGAAGAAATGGAGAAGCCACCACAGTCAACAAAAGAGTCTGAAATGTAGAACTTGGATACAATCTCAAAAACAACAGAATGATCTCTCTTCGTTTCCAAGGCAAACCATTCAATATCACGGTAATCCAAGTCTATGCCCCAACCAGTAACACTGAAGAAGCTGAAGGTGAACAGTTCTATGAAGACCTACAAGACCTTTTAGAACTAACACCCCAAAAAGATGTCCTTTTCATTATAGGGGACTGGAATGCAAAAGTAGGAAGTCAAGAAACACCTGGAGTAACAGGCAAATTTGGCCTTGGAGTACGGAGTGAAGCAGGGCAAAGGCTCATAGAGTTTTGCCAAGAGAACGCACTGGTCATAGCAAACACCCTCTTCCAACAATACAAGAGAAGACTCTACACATGGACATCACCAGATGGTCGGCACTGAAATCAGTCTGATTATATTCTTTGCAGCCAAAGATGGAGAAGCTCTATACAGTCAGCAACAACAAGACTGGGAGCTGACTATGGCGCAGATCATGAACTACTTATTGCCAAATTCAGACTGAAATTCAAGAAAGTGGAGAAAACCATTAGGCCATTCAGGTATGACCTAAATTAAATCCCTTACGATTATACAGTGGAAGTGAGAAATAGATTTAAGGGACTAGGTCTGATAGACAGAGTGCCTGATGAACTATGGACAGAGGTTCATGCAACTGTACAGGAGACAGGGATCAAGGTCATCCCCAAGAAAAAGAAATGCAAAAAAGCAAAATGTCTGTCTGAGGAGGCCTTACAAATAGCTGTGAAAAGAAGAGAAGTGAAATGCAAAGGAGAAAAGGAACGATATACCCATTTCAATGCAGAGTTCCAAAGAATAGCAAGGAGAGATAAGAAAGCCTTCCGCAGTGATCAATGCAAAGAAATAGAAGAAAACAATAGAATGGGAAAGACTAGAGATTTCTTCAAGAAAATTAGAGATACCAAGGGAACATTACATACAAAGATGGGCTCAATAAAGAACAGAAACAGTATGGACCTAACAGAAGCAGAAGATATTAAGAAGAGGTGACAAGAATACACAGAAGAACTGTACAAAATAGATCTTCACGACCCAGATAATCATGACAGTGTGATCATTCACCTAGAGCCAGACATCCTGGAATGTGAAGTCAAGTGGGCCTTAGGAAGCATTACTACGAACAAAGCTAGTGGAGATGATGGAATTCCAGTTGAGCTATTTCAAATCCTGAAAGATGATGCTGTGAAAGTACTGCACTCGATATGCCAGCAAATTTGGAAAACTCAGCAGTGGCCACAGGACTGGAAAAAGTCAACTTTCATTCCAATCCCAAAGAAAGGCAATGCCAAAGAATGCTCAAACTACTGCCCAATTGTACTCATCTCATATGCTAGTTAAGTAATGCTCAACATTCTCCAAGCCAGGCTTCAACAATATGTGAACCGTGAACTTCTAGATGTTCAAGTTGGTTTTAGAAAGGCAGAGGAACCAGAGATCAAATTGCCAACATCTGCTGGATCATCGAAAAAGCAAGAGAGTTCCAGAAAAACATCTATTTCTGCTTTATTGACTATGCCAAAGCCTTTGACTATGTGGATCACAATAAACTGTGGAAAATTCTGAAAGAGATGGGAATACCAGACCACCTGCCTTGCCTCCTGAGAAACCTGTATGCAGGTCAGGAAGCAACAGTTAGAACTGGACATGGAACCACAGACTGGTTCCAAATAGGAAAAGGAGTACGTCAAGGCTGTATATTGTCATCCACTTATTTAACTTACATGCAGAGTCCATCATAAAGAAATGCTGGGCTGGATGAAGCACAAGCTGGAATCAAGACTGCCAGGAGAAATATCAATAACCTCAGGTATGCAGATGACACCACCCTTATGGCAGAAAGTGAAGAACTAAAGAACCCCTTGATGAAAGTTAAAGAGGAGAGTGAAAAAGTTGGCTTAAAACTCAGGATTCAGAAAACTAAGATTATGGCATCTGGTCCCATCACTTCAAGGCAAATAGATGGGGAAACAGTGGAAACAATGGCTGACATTATTTTTTTGGGCTCCAAAATCACTGCAGATGGTGACTACAGCCATAAAACTAAAAAACGCTTACTCTTTAGAAGGAAAGTCATGACCAACCTAGACAGCATATTAAAAAGCAGAGACATTACTTTGCCAACAAAGGTCCGTCTAGTCAAGGCTGTGGTTTTCCCAGTAGTCATGTATGAATGTGAGTTGGACTATAAAGAAATCTGAGCACCAAAGCAATGATGCTTTTCAACTGTGGTGTTGGAGAAGACTCTTGAGAGTCCCTTGGACTGCAAGGAGGTCCAACCAGTCCATCCAGTCTTGAGTGTTCATTGGAAGGACTGATGTTGAAGCTGAAAGTAGAATACTTTGGCAACCTAATGGGAAGAAATGACTTTGAAAAGACCCTGATGTTGGGAAAGATTGAAAGCAGGAGGAGAAGGGGACGACAGAGGATGAGACGGTTGGATGGCATCACCAATTCAATGGACGTGAGTTTGAGTAAACTCCAGGAGTTGGTGATGGACAGGGAGGCCTGGCGTGCCTCACAGTCCTTGGGGTCGCAAAGAGTTGGACACGACTGAGCAACTGAACTGAACTGAAATACATCAGAGCAGGTTTAACTATTTCTGGGGAATTAAAAGACAGAAACCAGAAGACCTTACTGAAGAACAGATAACTTCTCTGTGAGCCAGGCTATCAATTTTCAGCAACATAAAATTTCTCACTAAGTTGAAAGGTATAACATAGTGTTGATGAATGTTAGTAAAAGAGGTAAATCTTGATCAAGCTTAACTTATATTTTTATCTTGTAGGTCAGCTTCACAGATTATATCCTAAGCTCCCACTCCACTGTTCATTACTGAGCTTAGTAAGATGCTAATAACTAACATTTACTGAGTGGTTACTATGTGCCAGGGGCTGTTCTAAGCACTTAACATGTATTTAGCTGTTTAACAATTAACTGGAAACAGTCCTATAAATAACACCACAGTTACCACTTTATAGATTACGAAATTGAGGCACAGGGAGGTTACTGTTTACTTAAATCAACAACTAATAAGTAGCAGGAAGGATATTCTAGGTTCGACAGAAAAACACTAATTTTCCTTTCATTTAAGCCCGTGGCATATATGCTTTAAAGCATCTGCATGGACTGATGAGACAAGGGGGTAGAGAAGAGCAAGATAAATTAACAGGTTTTCAAACTATCTAAGGGCCTTTAAAAATTCTTCCTTGCTTCTTAGACTGGGGAGTTTCTTTTCTATGTCCGATGAAAGGACTGCAATTAATTTTAAAATTGTTTCATTCACATACGAATCACTCAATCTGGGACGTGTTTTACTGATACTGTAGATACTTGACTGGACAAGAACTACCTGGTATGAGTGAGGAGAACATTAGGTGGGCTGATAAGGGGCCATGGAAAACAACAATTAGTCTTTCAAATTTAAATCTTACCATTAATTTCTCATGGCTAGTCTGTCATGAGTATGAGAGATGGTTCCTGTGATAGGAGTTTGGTGAGGAAGATGAAAAAAATTCAAAAAAACTCAAGTAAATCTCTTAGGGGGGCTCAATTTTATAGAGAAATCAAGGTCAATAATATCAAACTTGGTAGAACCCAAATACTACTTCCTAATGCAATTCAGTTGACAGTTTTAAGCTAAATAAAGAACTAAACCTATGGAGGATTTTCTGTGCTTAGAACTAGGTCAAAGTTTGCTTGTGTTGTGAGCTCTGACCCTTGCCAATTAATTTATCTGTTATCAACTGCACTGATTTGATCCTATCTAATTAGACTCAGAGTTGAATCTAATCTATGTTTTAAAAAGAACCAGATAATTTTTTTTATTCTGATTTTTTAAAACCCTTTATAAAAGGTTCTTTTACTCCCTCCTCCAAATAAAATCTTGCCTTATATTCCAATTTGGAAAACAGATAGAGAAAAGGTGATGTGCTGTGTGCTCAGTCGTGTCCGACTTTAGCGATCCCACGGACCACAGACCACCAGGCTCTCCTGTCCATGAGACTCTCCAGGCAAGAATACTGGAGTGGGTTGCCGTTTCCTTCTCCCAGAAAGACAGAAAGAAGATCAGTGGTTGCCCACAGATGGGAAGTAGAGTGGGGTGGTGGTGGTGATGGTGCAAGTGTAAGATGGAGGTAGGAAGAGATGGGTGGGATGGATTTCAGGGAAAAATGAGGAAACACTGGGGGGTAATGAATATATTCATATATTCATTAACTTAATTGTTTCATGACATTGTATGGTATATAGAGTCAGAGCTTTTTGAATTATTTCATTTGATTATGTGGCTTACTATATGTTAATTATACTACGACACAGTTACTAATAAAAGAAAACCAGGAAACGTCCTCAGGTCCTTGTCTCATCCAACATGGTGCTCGTCAATTCCCTACACTTGGTACCCAGTTTTAAAAACTTTTATATAGTTTGAAAGAATAGCTTTAAAACTTTTGTCTTAAATACTAATGACATGCCTTGCTTAGGTCATCAATCAATAGATTTATGTGTCTCCAGGGATAACCTGATATCATATTGCTCATTACACTGATCTTCATTTTGTTTATAAACCTCCCTTGAAAAGTACATTAGAATAAAATTAGTGGATGGTGAGAAACATAAATTGGCAAGGTAATGGGAAGGAGAACAGAGACAAACATGAGAAGGAAAATAAAATTTCAATTTGTAATATAGACCAATCATACCTAGAAGAGACATATAACTTTGAATTGATTAAAAAGGAATTTTAAATATCCATATTCTTACAGATTTTCAAGTCTACTGGCTTGTCACAAAAAGTTCAAAGAATGAAAATAAGTGCCTAAAAAAGCTTGAGATATAAGAAACTGACTACAACATGAATTAGCATACTAAGAAAACTTATTTACATATATCTGCTTTCTTCCCCACAGTATCTCACATTAAGCTAAATAACCTTAATTGCTAAATTAAACAATTTTATAAAATTAAAAGATGGGAAGATAGCAAATAAAAACAAAATTCTGCTTTAGTAGCAAAATATAATACATTTCAGTGTAACTCTGAAACCAATATAAATAATCCATATTATTAAATACTGAAAGCAAGCAGTTTTACTGCCAATCACAGTGCTACCCTGCAGTGAGAAACACTAAGTTGCACATGTACTCACGACTCCCAGCATCCTCTGCAGAAGTCATGTCCACAGGGCATGTCCACTGGGTCTTCAAATACTGAAATACTGCACATGCAAATGTCACACTGAAAATGAAGGAAAATGAGTTTAACAAAGTCGTACTCTCGAAGAATATTCCTTTGTTCATTAGTTCATGGCAAAAAATGCCAGCAATTTATGTAATCAAAGTGTTTCAAAATTATAAGGGAACTTAAAATTACTGTGCCTATCTTTGACTAAATAACAAATATCATGCTTACCTGATTATAAATTGCTGTGGGATTGAAATGTTTTAATGCAAAAGTTAAATTCTTAAATTCTAAATTTATGTGCTAAATTAGTCAGCAACTATTTGTTTTGAAAGGAAACATAAGAAACAAATCATTACAATCTATTCAGGTCAAGATCAAATTGCTCCTTGTGAGATAACCACTTCAATATGGTGTCCTTCACCCTATACTCAACCCAGAAAATCTACAAAAATAAAAAGTAACTTTATTTTTTCAATACAGCAACTCAGGATATTCACAGTAGCAATTGAAGGATTTCTACCCAGGGAACCATGCTACAAAGCTTTGTATCTTCTATGCATAACTAGGAGAATCAAACTTTAAAATGTTACAGATGCGAATTACATAAGTAGGATGCTGTTTTCCAAGAAGGTCCAGATAAAATCTGGAGTGCATTCATACTTATCATGTATTTTGAGCAGCTGAATTATTAAAGAAACATAAAAATTGTTTATATAAGTGCATCAATGGTTTGACAATTAAAAATGGATACAACGGCAGTACTGTGTCTCAATAAAAAGCAAATATTTATTATGGAAATATTATCTGGATGAATAACTGGATGAATAACTCCAGAAGCTTCATTGAAACACAGTTATCAATGTATTATAAATATATTCTAAAAAATATAAAAATATTTTCATTTTTTGGTTTTAGGTGCCTATCACAAACTCAACTTTTAATATTTCAATATGGCTTATTCAAAACTGTAAGTAACTGGAGCTTTTCAGTGAAAATATCATAAGCAGTTTTGCCAAAACCTTTAATGTTTCCTGTTTTAAAAGAGAAAAGAAAGCCCACTTGTTTTTCAATCTATAATTCAGGGATCACAAAAATAGTCTCTGATAATAAATATTTAACCAAAGCATGAAATAATCGAGCCCTTTAAGCAGGGTTCAGAATTCAATTACAAGAATACAACTAGAGGCTCCATGAATCCAAGTTAAAATTAAAACTGTGAGAAGGACACTGAGTACTAAACCGTACCAAGCTGGTGTCCAAATCCCCAGGCGATAAACTTAGTTCATCTGGAGAGGTGACGGAGGAGCGGGTAGTCCTTGGAGTTCTTGGAGAAGGAAGTGTGTCCCAGGCGTTACACCCGCTTGGTGGTGGCGTTGGCATCTGAACACCTGATCGCTGGCAGCAGTTCTCTGGGTTGGACATCCAAGCTTCAAGTAATTTCTCCCTGTCCCAGTCTTTAAGACAAATGGAATGGATATCTCTCAAATAACAGAGAAAATATGGTGCTGTTTTAAGAGCTTCATAATAACAAAAGAGAGACTAAATTACAGGGCTATAGGTCCTCTAGGAAGAAAAGCTATTTGTTATCAAAGTTGTAATTACAAATGACATATTTAGGTATGTTATATCCTTTCATATTTTTAAACAGAATTTAAACTTTTATAATTTACCATGGCTTACTACCATGTCAATATTTAACAAGATGGCTAAAAATTTCAGGCATTTCTACTCATAATCAAAAGTGGTGGCTCACACATCATTGGAATTTACTAACTTTTTATTGGTAAAGGTTTGATTAAGCCACTTTATTCTTTCAAGAATAACATATAACTTCACAATTGGCCTCACTGCTATCAAGTTGTAAAATATTACATAGTTCATAATAAACATGTCAAAATGCCAGCAACTCCTAAAAATTCATTTGATAAACATCTTGAAAGCAGAAAGAACTTCTTAAGGGATTATGATTATAAAGTTTTAGGGAATTTGATGTAAATTATATATTAAGTGAGCCTGAATCTGGCTTAACCCATTCCTCCCAATAAACTTTCCAATCATTATTGAGGTGAAGAAACCAAGACTTGGGGAAATTATGTGACTTGGCCAGGTTCAAACAGATATGAGGTATATGAAACAAACTTCTGTGAATCCAAAGTCTGTGTTCTTTCCACTGCAGCCCAATAAAGCACAGGTCAAGAGTAACATAGAGTCAATTATTTACCATAGGCCCATTCTATATCATTTTACAAACCAAATACAAATATCTGTGGAAACTCTATATGGAAGACTTTTTTCATCCATATTAAGTCAATATATTTGGCGGTTTAACAGGATAATTAGGATTCAGGTATGCAATGGAGACAGAGTGTGTTTCCACAGGTGCAAAGGCATAGAAGTACAATGGAGAGATGTGAACAGCTCTGTAAAGTTCCAGGGTACTATACTTTGGTTTGGGGAGATGGAAGATAAGATTGGAAATAAGAGTCAGGTTACAAAGAAGAAAAATCCAACAACTGAAAAGCTCTGCATACAAGTGTATTCTGGGGAAATGTTGCTAAATGGACCTGAGGTTTTTGATAGGTCACCACAGGCATACCTTGAAGATATTGCAAGTTTCCTTCCAGACCACTGAAATAAAACACAGTGTAACAAAGCAAGTCATACAATTTTTTTTGTCTCCCAGTACATGTAAAGATTATGTTTACACTACATTGGCTTTTTTTTTTTTAACTATAATGCTATTGCACACTTAACAGGACTACAGTACCTTAATTAAAATACTTCATTGCTAAAAAACACTAACCATCATCGGACAAGGTAGGGTTGCCACAAATCTTCAAGTTGTAAAAAATGCAACATCTACAAAGCACAACAAAGTGAAGTGCAATAAAACAAGATATACTTGTAATTAACAAGTTCAAACTTTCTTAGAACAGTACGATTATTTTTCAAGTCTCCATTAAAACACTTTTAAATAAAGGGAGAAAAGAACAGCTATAATTTATATACACACAAACAAATTAAATTCTAGTCTTGGATTCTGTCATATCGCTCATTTAGCAAACATCTATTGAGTGTCTTTTATGTGCCATACACTATGTCAAGCTGTAGGGATACAATGGGAGGGAAAAACAGGCACAATTCCTGCTTTCATGGAATGTAAAGTCGAGTAAAGAGAAAGTCATTAAATAAAATCAACACATTAAAAAAAATCATCACTGTCAGAAGCAGCATTAAGAAGAGGTAGAGACTCCCATTTAGGGAGGTCAGAGGTGACTGGGGAAATGGCCAGGAGTGAACATCTGAGGGATGAGAGAGAGCTAACTAGGTAAAAGGGAGATGTAAAAGGGAGAGCTAACGAGGTAAAAGGTCTCCAGAGACCAGAAGACCAGAAGGAGACCAGAAGCGCCGTCTGAGGGAGGCTGAAGAAGCAGACTGGGACTAGGCCATATTGGGGGCTTCCCTGATGCTCAGTGGTAAAGAATCTGCCTGCAGGGCAGGAGCTGCATGAGACATGGGTTCATCCCTGGGTCGGGAAGACCCCCTGGAGGGGGGCATGGAAAGGCACTCCAATATTCTTGCCTGGAGAATCCATGGACAGAGGAGCCTGGAGGGCTACAGTCCATAGAGTCACAAGGACTTGGACATGACTGAAGCGACTTAGTATGCATGCAGTCCATATAGAACCTCTAAATAACACTCCTGTCATCAGTTTATGAGTGACAGGAAGCCAGTGAAAAATTTGGCATATGGGTAGGAAGAAAAGGTTGTCACAGTTAGATTTGAACAGATCTTTCTGGCTACAGAATGGAGAAAGAAATCGAATAGGGTGATAGTGGAGGGAAGGGCAGACTAGCAAGGAGGCTACTGGGAAGTACAAGTAAGAGATTATGCAGCAAAGGCCATGGCTGGCGCAGTGGGGATGAAGAGAAAGGGAGAAGTTAAGATTTGGGAGGTCAGACTGAAACTTTGGTGACAACGGGATATAGTGACTAAAGGAGAGGAAATGTCAGAGTTTTTGTCCCAGGTCTACCATGTTAGTTGGTTGGTGCCACCTTCCATGTAAATAGGAAATACCAGAGACTCAGGTACAGGTTTAACAGCGTGATTTTAATTTTAGACATGATGAGATATTCTAGAGGTACTTTCAAATAGGCAGTTAAATATAAGTATATAGAGATCAGAGAAGAAGTCTAGTCCAGAGGGAGAAATATCTACAGAAGCCTTGGGAGAAGATGTCATTTCCTAGGAAGAGAGTAGTGAGAGGAGAAGTGGACTATTCAAGTTTAATTACCTTAGAAGTGACGAGTCTCCAAAGGAGCTTTAAAAAATACTTCAATATACATTTACTCTAAGGACAGTCAAACTAGACTTAGTCTCATATTTTAAAAAACAGAAATGGCAAACAGCTCCAGTATTCTTGCCTGGAAAATTCCATGGAGAGAGGAGCCTGGCGGGCTAGAGTCCACGGTGTCACAAAGAGTTGGACACGACTGAATGACTGAGCAAACACACAAGCAAATTTTACTTATTTTCTCATTAGGTAGCTTTCAACTATTAATACATGTTACTTTTATTACTGAGGAAATGCTCAGAAAATGACCTTTGTATTTTTAACAGAGTCATTCTTAAAATTCAATTACTTCTCAGTAAATATAGCCAAACATTTCTGTCTTCTGTCTTCTTCAACCTCATTACTTTGGGACTAAATTTGACAGTACATAAAATAATGCTTAAATCTATTTTCTGTGGAAAGCTGAATGAATGTTACCAAGGATACAATCTATAAATCTACCAAAGAGTTCAGTTTAATAGCTCTGAAACAGAGCCCATCCGGGTTTTGACAGCAATTAGTGTAAACTGTAGTTCTGTGTACTATTTTATTCACTAACATCATTTACCTCTGAAAATCTTATTTGATTATCAAATGTCACTGATATTATCTAGAAGAATGTAGAAGAAATGTTCATTTGAAAGCCTGCATTAGCCTCTATTTTATGCTCTAACAGGGGAATGCAATATATTAACAGAACTCTTAAGTTATCAAAAAAGTTATCACAGAATAGACAAAAGTCAACTAGTAAAATTCAATTAGCTATCACCTTATTAGGGTTGAGCCTATTATGTAAAAGAAGTAAGTTAAGGAAGTATCAATGGAGTGAAAATGGAGTTTATCACTTAAAAATACTTGATGACATAATGTGTAAACACTAGAGAAGAAAAAAGCCTTAGATTTTTACAGGATACAATATTATAAGTTAGAATCATGATACATTATATAACTTAGCTGAATGTAGACACCTGTGGCAGAAATGGGTCTACACACAGAGCAGAATTGCTGCTCACAGTGAAATGTGACCATGTGACTAAATTCTGGTCAGTGGAATGATTTATGTCAGGGGTGATTTATGTCACTTCTGGGACAGGCTCAAAAAACCTCCCACATCTTTATCTGCATGCTTTTTCCTTTCTGACTGGTTGGCTAGAATGGAGCGAATCCCCAGGGCAACCTCAGAAGCCACTGTTAGGGTGGCAGAGCCTCTCAGTCAGTCGGGATAACTGTATGGAGCAGAGCCACTTCCCCATTCCTAACCTAAATAAAACACCTTAGACTACTATTATGATTAAGACACATTTACTGTGGTTGACTCTATACTTTCACTTCAGCAGTGGCTTACTCTAATATAACTGGCACAATACAGCCCCTCACAGATGAATGACTTCTACTTTTATGCCAGCTCTATATTATATGTAAATGCACTCTCTTTATTTGAAAGCTCAAGCAAAGGACAGGTCACTGTGAACCTTACACAAAAGAAATACAGTTTAAAATATTTTATATTTCTTTACAAGTTTCTATATTATGACCGTTAAGCATTATTACTGATTAAAAGGAAAATATCTTTAAATTCTAAGATTTTAAAAACTATTTTGAATTCCTCAATTTCATTTTTGAACCAGGTCTAGATTTTTTTCCCCAAAGGATTACTTCAAAGTTTAAAAAGATGACAATGGAGAAATAGGGTTCTATAATAAAAAGATGGGTTTAAAATGTACAAATAACATTTCAAATATATTATCTATTCATTCCGTAACTATGTTCTCAGGGCTTAAGGGATGGTTATTGTGGAAACAAAAAAAACAACAACAATAAAAAGCTGCCCTCTAAGAGCTCCCAGGTTAATGTAGAGAAAAAGCAAATACAGAGATTATTGCAATATTGTATTCTAAGTTTATGACACATGTATGCACAGGATATAATGGGAAGAGACAGGAAGGCTCTCTTCCAGATTTCCTGGAAGCGGTGCTTAATGAAGACAAGCAGGAGTGGGTAAACATGTGGAGACTGACGGCCCAGATGCACAAGCCTGAATCATGAAGATATACTAAAGAGATGGGATATTCTATGTCTGGGGAGAGCCAGTGAAGGGCTTTTCAGCAGGGGAGATAAATGCTCAAAATTTTAAAATGCAATATAAAAAATGAATACAGGTGAAGAGGAATGCCAACACTGGACTACAATTTAGATGAAAAATAACGACAAACTGAATTTAAGTCAGGGGCAGTGAGAATGGAAAGAGCTAGGGGACTGGGGAGAGGATGGGAGCTATTTAGGAAGAGAAATGATGAGGCTGTGCTCAAATGTGATAGAGAGGTAGAAGGAAAGTGTGACTTCTCAGTCTGGCCAGGGTGATTAAATGAATGTGGAGGCCATTTATCAAGACAGTGGGAGAAATGATGAGTTCATGTATGGACATCCTTTGGTTGGGGAGAAAAGGTTAAAAAGCCATTTAGAAATAAAGTCTTGAATACTTCATTAAGGTCAGGTTGTAGACATGTTCTTTATTATCTAGGTGGTTTTTGAAACCCTTGGTGTCATTAGATCAATGTGCACAACAATGTTTCTCAGATAAGGGTCTATTTGATAGGCTGTTTATAACACATGTTTTTATGCCTATTCCCTCACCTAAAGAAAAGGCTTAGATTCTCTAGAAGTTATCCTAAGAATTTCTAGTTAGTTTCCCAGGAAATTCTTATTTATACCAAAAGTTAGAGGCACTGGTATATAAAATGGAAAAGAGTGTCAAGTACAGAACTCTGGGAAATAGCAATATTGAAGCTGGTGATTCTGGAGGGTTATATACCAAATTATTCACAGAAATGACCAAAGGAAGATGAAATGTGCAGTTTAAAATTTTCTTCTAATCAAAAGATCATATAAAATTTTTTGGAAGTAGGCATTCTATTTTAATACAGATGATAAAGAATTTATAGTTAAAACAAGGAGGTATGTCTCAAAATTACTGGATGAGAAAAGCCATTCACCTTTCCCTTTTTAAAAGTAATTTCTAAATCAGAAAAAAACTCTTTGATTAAGCCAAAAAGTCAAGTATCAAGTGTGTAATTGGAGGGTCCAACTCAACATGTGACAATTCCCAGAATGGTTGTCTTAAGGATCACAGAGGACTTAAAATAAACTAAGCACTTAGTTTCTAAGTAAAGTTGGTAATGTCCTCAAAAGAATTTTGAAAATGAACAAAAAAAACCCCACCTTAAAAGGAACAGTATGTTCTTGTGTTGACTCTTATAGATTTTGCTTTGTGCATTTCATGGTGAGAAACAGTTTTTACATAAATACAACTGACAAAAAAAAATAGCAAACTGCTAGTTAACTGACTTTATTTAATCAGCTTTAGTAAAAATTAATGTCAAAACCAGGACTAGGACTATGGACTCCAACTCTCAACCCTGCTCAAATCAGATATATTTCTAAAATTAGACAATCTATAAGTTGGTTTACTTGTTTAATTTTCAAAAAGAGATTTCTTATTTCTTCTCTATGATTCATAGCCAGTTTATATTTACTTCAAAACACATGGATGTCGAGTACTGCAGTAACCACTGCACAAACAACTCAGGCTTGTTTAGCAAACTATTTTGTTTTATATTAAAACATTAAAACAGCCACCTTTTTTTTCATATTGATTGGTATTTATTTTAGGACATGCCATGTCAAAATAAAACAAGAGAGTCAACCCTTGCCTTTAACAATAATATTGTATTATAAAAGCGCTTTAAAACTCCATCTCATTTTTGAGTACCAGTTACTGGGGTATGTGGGCTGATGATTATCTGAAAGCATTTCTCTATTCACATCCATAATCCAAGTGCTCTCTGAATATTATAAGGTGACAGTAAGTGGGAAGTGGAGGAGGAGGAGGAAAGAGAAGGGAATAAGTTTCTCCCAGTTAAGGGTTTGTTGCAATGAGGGGATGAGGACGTATGAAGATATTTTTGCTGTCTTTTCACTCTTATACTGTGTTAAGTAATGCTTACAACATAAATTCAGCAGGCTTTTCCTGAGCTGTAACTCAGAAATTTACTTCCTGCAAACAATGTATTTACAAATGTGTTTATTAAGTTACACAGCAATCTCACAGTAACTAGCAAAGATTAAAATGGTGCACTCCTAGTATATTTGTTTACAGTGTTTTAAGGGAAATACATATTGCCATTGTGATAAAGCTCTAAATAGACCGAATAAAACATCTAAAAATTGAAAGTAATTAAAAAAGGCAAAGAAATAAATATCACCAAAGAAAAAAGATTGTAGCTTAAATATAAAACCGAATCACTAATTAACCAAACTACACAGATCTAATAAAAAACAAAACCACGTTGAGAGAACATTAAAAAAATGCTGAAAAATAAGGCATAAATCTGCATAATGTTAAGTTTTATTTTCATTCTCTCCTTTTCCTTCTTCTATGCATGCTTGTTCAGATCTGCCTCTAAGGGCTTATAAGAAAACTTTCCATATTCAATTTGATCTCAAATGTCCTGGGCAAAGTATCTGCTACTCTGTTGAAGATTCTATACTTGGTAAGCTTTAGATATCATTGTTTCCATTTGTTACAGTAATTTTGATCAAGGTGCCAAATTTATATTCTTCTAAAAACTGAAAGTAGTTAAAAAAGGCAAAGAAATAAATATAACCAAAGAAAAAAGATTAATTTGTTCTTCTTAAAGGAATTTAAGGATCTTAAAGGATCTCTACAGTGCCTTGCCTGCATAGCATTTTTTAAAAAGAAACAAAGGAAGAAATAAAGGAAAGAAACTCAAGAGAAATCTATTGGTTAAAAAACTTTTCCTTTTCAAACAGATCTCTATTTTGACAATTTTAAAATCTTGGGAGAATTAGCTCTTAGAAGAATTAAGTATTTAAAATGTTCTGAAAAAACAAGAGAAAAGTAAAAGTGCTTCAAAACAGCCATCTTTTAACTGTGAAAAGTTTCAAAAAGTACTCAGGACATTTCTTTCATTACCATGAGCTCGAAGTAAAGCTTCAGCAGTAAATAGTGGAGCCTGGAGCATGTCTGCTGTTTCCACAATAAGCATATCTTTCAATCTACGAAGATCCTGAGGTCTTAATCCTTCATACGGCTTTAAAGAGAAGAAAAACAAAATTAAATTGGCTATTATACCTTTAGGAAGTTCTGCAAATCTGTAAATAAATATATGTGGTTATCATTTATTTAATCTTTCAGTTCTGGGTTGGCAATGAAGCTAAAAAGGCACTGTATCTTCCACTATCACGAATTTCAAAACTACTTTATCACAAGTCTTTTTTTAAGTTGGAAAGTAGATGCCTGGTCTCACGAACCTCATCACTCTAAAACAAACAATTATACTATAATGACAAGATCATCTTACTTGATAGTTTCAAAAATCTAAATAATACTAAAAAAAAGCATTAGAAATAAAAACCTACAATTTCACCACTGACCAATGGTCATGATTAACGTTCTCAAGTATTTTTATCCAGTCTTTTCTTTCTGCAAATCAGCTGTATATGAGTATGTATGTATTTACTTAGATACAGTTTTAATCACTGAACCACCAACATTTATACTTAGTAGGACTGAATTTGGAGAAGAGTGATTATGACATACTATTCAACTTACTCATAAATGTATTATCTCTGTTTATTCAAGTGTTTGTTAACACTCCATAAAGGTACTTTATCATTTCAGGTGTTTTTTTTATTCTTCTGTGTTCCTTTATCCTTTCCCCCCTTGCTTTTAACAGAAAATATATAAAGAATAAAATCACAAATGTCTCACTATTCGTAAGTTTATAAATGCCAAAATAACCTGTGACATGTTTTCCTCATTTCATTTCCCTAATTTCCCCCTCCTGCTTATGGCAATCACTACCATGAACTTGATTTGTAGCTACTGTAATAATAAGGCATAACATTATAAATATCACTAAGCAATTTGCCTTTATTTTTATTCAATATTGCATTTTTATTACTAATACTGATATAAATATCTACTTCAATCCTTTAAACAGATGTAACCAGCTTACTGCAGTAAGCACAGAACTAAAGGTAACAACTTAAAAAGCAGGAGAAATTCTGAACTACTCATCAGAATTACAACCACTGAGGATGTCCTTTGGTGACATTTATCAAATATTCCAGAGAGTTCTGGAAACCCCAGAACAGATGCAGTTAGTAAACCCCATCTTTTATAGTTGATTTACAGATATTTTAAAATTAGATATTAACTTTATTTCTTGTTTTGCTTTTTTTAAATTATCATGGAAACCATTTCCTCAATTCTTACTCAACCTCATATGACAGGAACTCTATTCATCAAGGCTATTTCTCTTACTCGATACAAGTTTTCTAACCCTAAAATGTCTTCTGGTAGGGATGCATATATAAGCAATGAGTGCATTCATGACAGGAAAGACTGACAGACTTGACTGCAAAAACACTGCCAAGATTTAAACATAAAAACTGTGTTGCTTTTAATATATAAGGAATCTGTGGCAATCATTAAATTTAAAATATCGAAAGTCACAAAAACACAAACATCCTTAAATATATAAGCTCTTTACCTAACAAAATGGCCAATGTTTGAAAACAAAAAACAAAAAACCCAACAATCACCCTCAATATTGCTAAGGTTGTAGTGAAATAGTCCTCTGATATACTGTGGGTAAAAACAGTAATTGGTATGTCATTTAAAAACTAAGCATCACATCCCATGAGTCTTTAAAATATTCATCTTTTGACTCAATTATCTTACTTACAGGAATTCATCCTAAGGTCTAATTGCAATGCGAACAGAACTGGTCATCTGGAATGTTACTTATAAAAGTGACAAAATGCAACTAACTCAAATGTACTTTAAGGGAGTTAAAGGATATCTACACGTTAAGAGTAGTCAGCAGTCACTCAAAATATTTCCTGTAAGTTTATAAATACCAAGAAATGTTAAGGAAAATAAAAAAGTACAGGATACAAAATGTCCAATATCATCACACTGATGAAAAATGGAAGGCAAAATGTTACAAGTATTATTTATAAGAGGTAGAACAATGAATATTTAAAATTCTTACTGTGATTTTTATAAAGAGTATGTTTGGTTGAAAAAAATTTAATTAAAAAAATTAAAGAAAAGTTACTGGGGATGTTAAGGAGCTTTAAGCACTGGCAGAGCACGCACACAGCCAGCCGGCAGTGTCACTCTGCTTTATAAACGATGGTAAAGCCTAACACTGAATACACCACACAAGGCACACTCTGTTCATGGTCTGCTATACCAATACATGCATTCAGCTATACTGCCATGAATCTCTACATATTATAGGTATCCTATGACCCTAACTAGAAAAAAAAATTAACCTAAACTTCGAATATAGTTTATTATTATATCCCTCTCTAGGGATTAACTAAAAAGAAATTAAAAAGGGAAATTTAATCCAAACTATCCTTTAAACAGTACCCCCAAATCATCATGTACAGCTTGCTTTTAGGCTAATTTATAAAATACAGCTTTTCATGCGGAAACTCACAAATCCCTTCACGATTAAATCTGAGTATTCATTCTAGCCTAGAAGTTATTCACTATATATAACACTGCTTCTAGAAAATGTGCTCTAAGTTCAGATTTGGGACTCCAGGTATTTTTCTTGGCTACTGATAATGAAAAACAACATTTCTTGATATTCCCAGTGGTGGCAGCTGTATATTTCCTGGTATTAATTCCCAAGTGTTCCTCTTTAGAGTAGCCTTCATTCTACCTAACTTATGTTGAACAAAATAAAATTTGATTTTAGATATATTAAGAAAGGAATAATGTAAAGCAACCTGTATAGATTCCTTTTTAAAAAAAATACACAGCTTAAAACTTAAATAAGTAACAATGGAGAAAAAATAGTTCTTGAAGGAAAAAGACATACTGCCTACATGAACATGTAACATGATCACTCTGAATCTCTGCAATTGAACTAGGTTATGTGAAGCATTTTAATACATTGTTTAGTCCCAGGTCAGTAGGAGTCCAATATGCTACTGGGGAAGAATGGGGAAATGCTCCAGAAAGAATGAAGAGGCTGGGCCAAAGCAGAAACCATGCTGAGTTGTGGGTGTGGCCTGGTGGGGAAAGTAAAGTCTGATTCTATAAATAATAATAACACATTGGAACCCAGGATGTTAGGGTCCATGAATCAAGGTGAATTGGCTGTTGTCAAGCAGATGGCAAGAGTGACCATCCACATCTCAGGAATCACTGAACTAATTAAAATGGGCGGGAATGGGAGAATTTAATTCAGATGACCATTATATCTACTACTGTGGGCAAGAATCCCTTAGAAGAAATGGAGTAGCTGTCATAGTCAACAAGAGTCTGAAATGCAGTACTTGGGTGCAATCTCAAAAACAACAGAATGATCTTGGTTTACTTCCAAGGCAAACCTTTCAGCATCAGAATAATCCAAGTCTATTAGCTCCAAACACTAACACTGAAAAAGCTGAAGTTGAATGGTTCTATGAAGACCTACAAGACATTCTAGAACTAACACTAAAAAAAGATGCCCTTTTCATCACAGGAGACTGGAATACAAAAGTAAGAGGTCAAGAGAAACCTGGAGTAATAGGCAAGTTTGGCTTTGGAGTACAAAATGAAGCAGGGCAAAGGCTAACAGAGTTTTGCCAAGAGAACGCACTCATCATAGCAAACACCCTCTTCCAACAACACAAGAGAAGACTCTACCTACGGACATCACCAGATGGTCAATACCAAAATCTGACTGATTATATTTTTTGTAGCTAAAGATGGAGAAGCTCTACACAGTCAGCAGAAACAAGATTGGGAGCTGACTGTGACTCAGATCATGAACTCCTTATTGCAAAATTCAGACCTAAATTGAAGAAAGTAGGGAAACCCTTAGACCATTCTGGTATGACCTAAATCAAATCCCTTATGATTATACACTGGAGGTGATGATCAATTCAAGGAATTAGATCTGGTAGACAGAGTGCCTCAAGCACTATGGACGGATGTTCGTAACACTGTACAGGAGGTGGTGACTAAAACCATCTCCAAGAAAAAAGAAATGCAAGAAGGCAACATGGTTGTTTAAGGAGGTCTTAAAAATAGCTGAGAAAAGAAGAAAAGTGAAAGTCAAAGGAAAGAGGGAAGGAATGCACCATCTCCCTAAAAAGTTTAATATTCCTTATTCAAGTTCAATCATCTCTTTAGAATGGGAAGTGATAGTACTTGTTGAACCGGAATTACTATCAAAATTAAAAAAGCTGACCATATTCGTTTAGCCACAAACCAATCTTATTTAAATCAGGACTGTCCAACAGAATTATTCCATCAGCCATTCTTAGTGTATGAGATCAATTTAAATATGGTACACATAAAAAGTCATGAGACACTTCTGTTTCATAATAAATAAGGCAGTGGCCAACTATTACTCATTGGTAGCTTTTTTGAGATAAGCTATCAAGTCCTCCCTCTCTCCCTTCTTCTTAATGCCAGCAAAGATCATCTTTGTTCCAGGGATGTACTTCTTGGGATTCTCCAAGTACTCCATCAGCGTCTCCTCTTCCCAGGTGATACCTTTGTTCTTGTTGGCATCTGTGTAAGAGAATCCAGCAGCCTGACCCGTCTTTCGGCCAAACAGACCGTGGAGGTTTGGCCCAGTCTTGTGCTTGCCTCCCTTTTCCACAGTATGGCACTGGGCACACTTCTGAACAAAAATCTTCTTGCCCTTCTCAACATCACCCATTTTTAAATCGTTCTTTCTCTCTGCACGACCAAGAAGATCCCGCTCACAAGCCGAACGCCCCGCTTTCTCTCTCCCAATCTGAGGGCTGTCTTTTCACCTTGCTTATAGTTTCCTTTGTTGTGCAAAAGCTTTTAAGTTTCATTAGGTCCCATTTGTTTATTTTTGCTTTTGTTTCTAAAATTCTGGGATGTGGGTCATAGAGGATCCTGCTGTGATTTATGTTGGAGAGTGTTTTGCCTATGTTTTCCTCTAGGAGTTTTATAGTTTCTGGTCTTACATTTAGATCTTTAATCCATTTTGAGTTTATTTTTGTGTATGGTGTTAGAAAGTAAAGAACTAAACAGACATTTCTC